CATGCCTGTGGAGCTGTGGTAACCGAAAAGAAGAAGAAGAAGAAGAAGAAGAAGAAGAAGAAGAAGAAGAAGAAGAACAACAACAACAACAACAAACCCAGTAAGCAAAGTAGGGCGTGTCATGTGTGTACGGGACCTTATCCCTGTTCGGAAGTAGAGATGCTATTTCCAAGAGATCCCAGGTTCAAACACATAGAACACACAAAGTAAACACAGTAGCATGTACAAATTAAGAGCACAGAGACATGAAAAGAAACGAGCAGAAAATTGATAAAAGAATAGTTACCACTAAAGGAGGAGTTTCTTCTTCGCCTTTGAACTTTGAACAATGGTCTGATATTTCCTTCTCGCACCACAAGAACACAGGGATATAATAGTGAAAGATTCTAACTTTTTGGGGTAGGTTAAGATTCAGGTGGTTGAGGTGAAACAGTCTGCACAATATTGATCCATACTCCAACCACTTATCAATGGACTCGGCCACGGCCTCTGAGCTCAGACCGGTTTTATTCACTAGGGGACCGGAACATATGAAATCAAAAAGGTCATTCATGGATGCAACTCCCATGAATTTTGAACTATGTTTCCTTCAGTTTGAAACAGAATCTTGGCGGTGGTGAGAATGATCTTGCTTCCACGAACACCTAGTGCCTCATCATAGCCGATAAACGAGCCTTAAGTCATCCTGCACCAGACAAATATAGAAATAGAGATATCATAGAGACAAATCACAAATGTACTTAAGAACCGGTGTCATATTATGATACCGACCCTCGGTATTAAAAGAACCGGACTCACAAAACTATATGAAAAGGTTCTTTATCCGGCCTCACCCATGATTGAACTTAAGGCTCTAATTAAGTTTTTAATTCAGCTAAAATGTACACTACTACCACTTTGGGATATATGAAATTATGAATCTTCTGTTTTCAGGAGCAATGTGCTTCGCAGTTTTCCCAAGGAAAAACAAGCCCATATCAAAGATTATCACTACATTCATTACTGTAAAAACCCAATCTTTACCAACTGCAACGGCAAGGTAATTTACAGGTAAAAGAAGAACATTGGGTAATGCAGCTTGAGATGACAAATAGAACTCATTTATTGGTAAAAATAAATGACAATTTCACAAATTCTCTTTCTTTCTAAACTTGTGTTTTCACTAATTAAAAGTTCTTAATTCAGCTAATAATTATTCCCAGTCAATATATGGAGGCCAAACCAGGATTATCTGTGCTGTAAAAATATAATTAAAAAAAGCTCGCAACAAACAAAAATCCCATCAAACTGGCAAGAAATTTATTAAAACAAAATGAAACAGAAACCCCATCAAAATTTGCTTCAATCCATAAAATACTACAGTGAAAATTTACCTGGAGAATTAGAGCAGGAAAGCGGGCGGCAATCGAATCCGCTTCCGACCTTGAGGAAGACGACTATAGACGGCGTTAGAATAGTGCGAGTGATCGTAAATACATTAATGGGGGAGAAGGCTAAACGGAGTTTAACGTCGGCAGCGATGGGTTCGGCAATGCCATTAGAGGTGTCTGGTTAAGGTCTGTTTGGTTTGCATACATTAGATTATTAAAAAAACTGAATCGGAATTTTAGTAAAAATTTAATAATTTAGTGCTTTTTGAGTGGAAGTGGGTTTACTCTATTTGGCATGTCAGCTTCTGCTTTTCACCACCACTATTTTGTACATAGAACATCATTTTCGGAGAAGCATGTATGAGATGCTTTTGCTTTCAGCTTTTGTAGAAATCACTTTGTCCACAAGTTAATCACTCCCAAACACCCTCTAATACTCCCTCTTCCTTTAAACCCTTCCCATTTTGACTTTGAGCAAAATTAAGGAAAGTATAATTTTGGTTGACTTTCCAATTTTGCCCCTGATGTGATGAGTAAAAGTAAGATATGATAGGTTGGTTATTAGTGAAAAAAGTATGATGTGATAGGCAGGGTATGAAAAGGTAAGGGTAAAAATGGTTTTTTAATAAAAAAAAGGAAGTGTTTTAGGGAATTAGAAAAAACGAAAGGAGAAGAGCTTTATGAAACGGAATGAGTATTTTGGTAAAATATTTTATGTACCGAATATCGAATCAAATTATTTCGGTTCATTATGGTTAATATAAAATGTGCTTCGGCTTGGTAATTGGTTTTACCGAAAAACCGAATATAATAAACAAAAAAAGAATTAAAATACCATTGGTCCAATATATTTTCTAAATAAAAATTTATGGAGTAAAAGTTTTGTCAATTATATAAAATAAATTGATTATTCTTTTCCAAACACGTTATTGTTATAGTTGTATATTAAATAAAACAATAATTCCAATACCACTCTTCCATTAAATTCTCCAAATTGAAAAATAATAATAATTAGAATTTTGGTCCATTACATAAAATAAAAGTACTATTTATTTGAAAACATTATTAGTCTATTAATTTTTAAAAAAGCATAAAACTATCTTTTAAACTTACAAACAATTTAGAAAGTTTTTTTTACTGAAATACCAATCCATTTAAGAAAATCACAATTTTGGAAAACGAGTATGGAATTTTATATGCTATAGTCTCTTTATTGGTTATAGTTAAAGCAACAAATTCAGATTTCATTATAAATTCTCCTTCTCCAAGTCGAATTCTAAGGTGCACCAATTTTTTCGATAGTAGCATAAACAATTACATAATTTCTTTTGTTCCAACAAAAATTATCTACGCCGGAATATTGGTTTAAACTAAAAAAAATATAGTAAAAAATTACAGCCGATAAAGAAGCTTATTGTTAAGAGACTTGTACAGAGTAAAAAAGATATAACTTACATACTTGTTTTAGATACCAACATTTTATCTAATTGAAATATTTTGATATATCCTGAAAGACCTGAAATAAGTGTAATATAAAAGTGACCATGCAAAACTCGTTTTTATGAATAGAATTCGAACATTCTCTTTTTACACTTCTATTAACCAATTGAGCTGCATCTCATGCCCATACGAATTTCAAATATCATTCTCAATTTATGACAAACAAACAACATTTTTTACAATAAAAAAATCAGGTTCTAATAATGCCCTAAATAAAGAAAAAGAAATGTATTGTCACTTTGACACACACTCTGCCACAGTTCTCACCAAAAATGTGAAATGTCTTATTAGCTTGGGACAAAGACCAAAGTAGAACTAAAACATTGAAGATATATCAAAATAGAACTTCCATGTTTTTATTCCCGAAATAAGACTTACATTACGTCATATATATTACCAAGAAAGTATAGTAATTTGCACATGTACACTGTCACATTACCACAATGCAAAGTCACATTCTGGGAAAAAAACATAAAAATTCTATTTTGATATTTTTCTCTATGTTTTAGTCCTATTTAGAATGATTTTTATATTAGCCTCTTATGTCCATTACTAAACGACCCATACCCACCACCAATTAGACCAACCACAACAAACAAACGCCAGTGTAGAGTACTGCCAGTGGGGACATTTCGGTCAAACTACAAGAAAATGCTTAAAATATGGAGTAAAGAAAAAACCCAAAAAAAAACAATTCAAAAATAAAAAAAACTGGTTAAGAGTTCTTTTGACAACAACCCTAAATATTAAGTTAGCATTTAGAGTGGTTATGGTCTTGAAACCTCAGGACTTCAAATCTTTTCACTCTGACATATCAGCTTTAACTTACACTGGAATTTCATTGGAAATGGGTTTGAAACCCCAGGGCTTCAAACCTCAATTTTTTACATTTTTAAATTTACATCTTCTAAAATTAAATTAATACGAGTAACATTTTTTATCTAATTGAATTTAAAAGAAAATAATTCATTAAATAAAAAAATACAATCAATAAAAAGTACATAAACAAAATAAGGTTTGAAAAATAACAACAAAAATAAAAAATAAATATATTACTTTACGAAGAAATCACTGATTATTTGAGCGACTAAAAATATCTTTATTCAAATCCGGATTGTAATGACATATTGCAAACTGAAATAATTTATTAAATAAAAAAATACATTCAATAAAAAAGTATGTTAAATTTAAAAAACAACAAAAAATGATATTACTAAAAAAAATAAACAAAAAAATATTACATTAAACAACAAAATATAGAGTAAAAAAATTGTGTTTGTGTATGTTTTGTTTTTTAAAAAGAGAGTGAATATAAAGAGTAAAAAAATTGTTTTTAGTCTTATGGCATTAAAGTAATTTTTTGTTGTTTTTAATGGAGGGACCTACACATTTTTCTTTTTTCTCCATTAAACGTTTGACGCATAAGGGATGAAGCCCCAAGGGGGCGGCGTTTAATGGCCCTTTGGCATTAAAAGCAGCAAAAACGCCCCGGGTGTTATGACCATTTCCAGTGTCTTTAGGCCCGTTTGGAAATATCGTTTTCGATTAACTAGCTAAAAATTTAACCATACAGCTTAATTTTTTAAACGCTAAACACTGCCTGTAGGTAGTCTTTTCAAAACGCTAACGCAAACCTCTAATGTTATTTCCAAATAAACCTTTTGAATGATACGTAACATGTAATTATGGAATTTTTAAAATTAATTTACATTATTAAAATTTAATCTAAAAGATTAAAACTAATTAAATTTTTAAAATTAAATTACATTATTCAAAACGCTAATACTAATCTCAATTAATCATTTTAAACTCTCTTAATTAACTAAAAAAGAGAGCTAGTAAACAGACAACAATGATGCGCCATGTACTAAAAGTACTCCCATCTTTTTCTTTGTCTGGCTTTTCCATTATTTGCGATTTTAATTTCCTCCAGCTTTATAAGTTTGTCTCTTCCAGTCCACTTTCCCGGATCAGGTACTCCAAGTTTTCCCAGTTCCCCTTTAATTTTATGTCGATTCTCTGCAATTTTTGAAACAAAAGAAGTCAACTTTTAATTTTAAAGAAAACATATTCACATGTTCTAATTCTTGAAAGTTGAAATATTTTTTCCCAATTTAAAAAGGTTGGAACCTTATGAGATTTTCTTAAAGTCCAAATTTTTATTTTCTGGGTTGAATTTTTTTTGGACAGATTGATAGAGCGAAAGAGAGAGAGAGAGAGAGAGAGAGAGAGAGAGAGAGAGAGAGAGAGAGAGATGGGATCATTTGGGATGCTAGCAAGAAGAGCTGTGCTAACAGAGACACCTGTTATGGTACAGGTAAAAAGCTCTTAGTTTTCCTCAATTTCCCTTGGAATGGATATGATTTACTTGTGTTTTATGGTATGTGAGTGATTCTTGGAATGTTGGGGGGCATTTTTGGCACTTTGTGATTGTGATTTGCAGATACAGGAGCTGATCCGAGGTGTTAAAGATTGTATATCTCTGGCTCAGGTTTCTTTGCTTTCTCCAATTTTTATGCTTTGTTACTTGCTTTTGTGTTCTTTTTGGCAAACATCTGAGGTTTAAGTGTTTTAGCCGTATGAAGTGACTTCTTTTTTCCTCAACAAGAGAATGAGATGCAGTATTATATTTTGCCATGTATGGTTTGCTTCCTGTAATTCATCAACTCATCTAGTGAATCTTAGACCTCGTTTGGTAATGGGTACAACAAAAAACAAACTCAGTAAAATCCCACAAAAGTAGGGTCTGGGAGGGTGTGTGGGTATGTGTACGCAGATCTTACCCCACTCGAAAGTAGAGGGACTATTTCGAAGAGACCCCCAACTCAAACACAACAACATAGCCTTGGGTAATGGGTATTTGGGTAAAATGTCTAAATTTTTTGGAAAGGAATGCGTTTAGTAGCATGCAGAGTACATTTTAGCCAAATAACCAAGTGAAAAGCTACTTGACCTTAGTAAGCAGCCAAATGAGTAAATTTTGGCCCCCAAAATTGCAATTACACACTCTCGCTCTGAATCTTTGTTTGGAGAGGTAATGTTGAAAGGACGAGCCAATGGGTGGTTTGTTGTGTGCAATTATAGCATTTCCGGTTCGTTATTTAGATGACATGGCTGAATTTGCCAAGGTTTTTTATAGGAGGAGTGTTTGGCAACATTTCTTTCAGCCAAGTGCCAAACAAGTCAAAATCTGTTCAATCTTTTTATTGCACTTATACTATGATAAGCATAATACACCAGATTAGGCTACCAAACAGAGCTCTAATCCTTCCGAGGTTAAAATAGGTATAGATACACACTATTAAGTGTCAGGAAATAATTTTCACCATATATATGCGGATATGAAAATGTAATTTGGTTCCATCATACCCATGGCTCAATGACATAGACGTCCGATATCACAATGGATTTGTTTGTTTGGATACCTTATCAATCTTAGTATGGTTTCATGCAGGGGGTTGTATACTGGCAACCACCCAAACAAGCATTGGATAAGACAAAAGATCTTGTTTGGGAGCCTTCAATCAGTCGTTATGGTGCTGATGAGGGCCTTCCTGAGCTCCGAGAGGCATTGATGAAAAAGGTATACATACTTGATCAGTTCTAAGTTTTAGTATTAGTATCCACAGCTTGATTTTCTTTTTCTGAGTCAAACATTTGGGCAGGGTCAACTTATTGACTATTTAAAAATCTTGTTAGGGGAAATAGCTGAAGGTGGCCGTGGATGAGTAGAGCTAATATGAGCAGGGTTTTCACTTTTCACTTAGGGTCCCATTTTAGAAGGGGAGAAATGATTTCCGGAAGTCATTTTCCCATTTTTTGTATTTGGCTGTTCTGGAGAATAGGGAAATTGATTTTCGAAGTCAGTGGAAAATAGGCCTTGTCTGAAAGAAAACTATTTCCATTTTATATTTCCAAACGGACCCTTAGCTTATTGCATATTTCCTAACTGTAACAGTTGATTATGAAACATGACCATAATAGTTTGTGGGTTGGTTCTTAATTTGTGATTCCGCGTTGTCTTTTATGCTGCTATTCAATATTTTAGTTGGATTTTTTATCCTCACTTCTTCGTTATGTACTTTCAGCTGCGAGCAGAAAACAACTTACATAAATCCTCTGTGATGGTTACTGCTGGTGCTAATCAGGTATTTCACAACGTATTTTTATTTTATTATTAAAAGAGTCAGTCCATTGCCGATGGAACTAAAAGAGTCATTGTTGACAATGTTTTAGTTTCGGGCACATAATGAATTAAGTCAAAATGGCACATTAAGCTTCCCATGTTTCTTTTTTAATGATGTTTTGGGCAGTAAATGTAGCAATACATTCAGGGTCTAATGTAAACAACCACTTTGTTCTTACAGGGGTAAGACTACATACCTCTTAACCCCCAGACCCAAACAAAGTTGATTATACTGTGTTGTTATATTATTATTATTATTGTTGTTGTTGTTGTTGTTGTTATTGTTGTTGTTGTTGTTGTTGTTGTTGTTGTTATTAGTCCAATTAATATTATTATTGCAGGCCTTTGTGAATCTTGTCCTCACGTTGTGCGATGCTGGGGATTCGGTTGTTATGTTTGCACCATACTACTTCAACGCATACATGTCGTTCCAGATGACCGGTGTCACCGACATTCTTGTGGGCCCCAGTCATCCAGAAACTCTTCATCCCGATGCAGGTTTGTGGCATCACGATTCATAAAATACATCTTTTAAGTATTTTAACCTTACACTTTTGTTACTTTTTATCCCTTCGGTCCCAAAAAGGCTTTTCTGTTGTAGGTTATGATGATTGACTAGAGCTATTTTCAATTCAATTTATTTGGAAATTTTTGAAATTTAAAGAAAATAAAATGTATGGACCTAGAAACTAAATAAAAAGTCTAAAAAGTAAGAGTTGGCATGACTATATTATTTTATCACACGATTAATGAAAATAGGCAATGAAAGATGTCAAGTTATGTCCTTATGAATAGTGAACAGCAAGACATCCTTTTTTGGGACAAAGGGAGTATTATTGTACAACATCCAATGGGATTTCTCTATTCTCATCTTTCAGATTGGTTAGAGATGACTCTCAAGAATACTGTACCAATTCCTAAGCTTGTTACGGTTGTAAATCCTGGCAATCCTTCCGGTACCTATATCCCGGAGCCTCTTCTCAGGGTTAGTCAGCCTCATTCTTTTTAGGTCCCAAAGGGTATGTTTGGTTGGAAGAGATGAGAGGGGAGGGGAGTTTTTTTTGGTTACCCCACCCTCCTCGAGATCTAGGATCAGAGTAGCTGGGATACACCTTTGGGCCTTGTGACTTATATAATTTAGATTTTTTTTTTAAATTTTTTGATGTGCAGCGGATATCAAGTCTATGCAAAGAAGCGGGCTGCTGGCTTTTGGTTGACAATACTTATGAGTAAGTGTCGACTGCGAAGAAGCGGTTGACAATATTTTTAAGTCTTTGAAAATATTCTCATTTCTTTGAGTCATTTTCTTGAAGCAGTTTTATGTTTTCTATTTTATTGCGGGTCAAATGTTATACAACTATGGGTTTTCAAGAAAACCTATTTTTTTTAAAACTAATTGACACCAAACAAAGGGAGATTTGGTGTCAATAATTGTTAGCTCATCTTATCTTGTCTTCAGGTATTTTATGTATGATGGTCGGAAACATGTTTGCGTCGAGGACGATCACGTTGCCAACATATTTTCCTTCTCTAAAGCTTATGGGATGATGGGATGGCGGGTTGGATATGTAAGTGACTGCTTCCCATAAATCTCATCCAAACAAAACTTAAAAAAGTGGTTATTGACAAACATGCCCTTCTTGATTTTTACCCCGGAGGTTTCTAAGGAGTATTAAAGAAACAGGGGAGGGCAATTTAGTCATTTTACTAATTTACCTCGTGGGTTCTCGCTAAAACGAACAATAATGACATTTTTAGGGCTCTGTTTTTTGTTTTTAAGTCGGGGTCTCCTAGAAACAGGCTCTATTTCCTAGTAGGGATGAGATCTTACTTTTTGTGGGATTTTACTGGGCCTGATGTTGTTAGGGCTCCGAGCCCCCCGCCCTCGAGGCTCTCACATGACAAAATATCGCATAGAAGTGGTAGCGCGGGTATAACTCGAGGGCAATAGTGTCATTTTCTCTAAAATGAATTCCATTGTAGTTTAATCATATATCCATCATTCTCCTTTCATCTTCATGAATGCAGATAGCATACCCTTCAAAAGTGGAAGGACTAGCAGAGCAACTCCTCAAAGTCCAAGACAACATACCGATATGCGCCTCCATAATCTCCCAGCGGCTGGCGCTCCACGCCCTCGAAGTGGGGCCCGCGTGGGTGACCGACCAGGTCAAAGACCTCGCGAAGAGCCGGGCCCTACTCACGGAAGCCCTGTCCCCTTTGGGCGAGGACGCGGTCAAAGGGGGAGAAGGTGCGATTTACCTGTGGGCAAAGCTTCCGGAAGAACACGTCGACGACTTTCAGGTGGTCCGGTGGCTGGCGAGGAGGCATGGGGTGGTGTTGATCCCGGGCAGCTCTAGCGGGTGCCCGGGTTACGTTCGGGTCTCGTTCGGGGGGTTGAAGGAAGACGATTGTAGGGCCGCGTCGGAGCGGTTAAGGAAGGGGCTGGAAGAACTGGTGAGTAGGGGAATGGTTTCTTGATTTTCTTTGACTCTTGGGGTTATGTCAAATTTGTCATTGCTTTTGAAAGGCAAGTCAACAGTACTAAACCATTTTTACAGCAAAAAAACGATAAATAAATAGNGGTGAATGAAGATGTATACCATGAAAATGATGCTTTCAAAGTTTCTTGATGCATAATTGTGTTAGTATCTTCTTCTGTCATTGTTTTAAATATAATGTTATCAATTTTTCACATACACTTAATTTAAGCAATAATAATAATAATAAAATCTTTGGTTAATAGAAGAAACTCTTCTAAATGTTAAATTACAAACATTAATTTTTAGAATTTGTTTAGTGGCTGGTACTCATGCATTTCATTAAGTAATAACTATGTGACTGGTTTTCAACTAGGGGAAAACCATGATCCAGTCTCCTAAAATTGACTATGATTACATTTGTGAACTTATAAATACTCACTCCAGTTTCTAAGTAAATTATGCTTTATGTAAAATGAAGTAAAATTTTAAATTTTTCAATTAATTTTGTTTAAAGATTGATACAGAATAAAAAAATAAATTTACATATATAAAATGTTGAAAATGTTATGCGTACACAACATTAGCGTACACTACTCGTAAACTAGGGTGTTATAGACACTACTTGTAAGCTAGTGTGTTACATACACAGACAACAACAATTATCTGTGTTTGCATAGACAAGTGTAGTCTTTGTGTGTCTATAACACATTGGTGTACACCTAGCATATTCTTTAAAAAAACATATCAAAAAATCTACAAAACAAGATGTGATAAGAATTTTTTATTTCATTGAATAATTAATAAAGCACACTAATAAACAAAAATTTCTATAATTTTTGAATAGTGAAGAGTGTAAATCATTGTGGGATGGAAGGGGTATTTCTTTTCTATAGCTAATGGTCGAAGCAAAGAAACCACCTCTCCAACTCGCGCCACCCTTGTTTTTATGTTGACGCTCGCATCCACGTTGCATTTCAGAGCACCTCCGACCGGCACTTTCCACCCATCCCATCGAACCACATTTGCCTCTCTGAGTCACAGGCCGTGCTACTTGCCACTCATGTTAGGCAAAATAAGATTTTCTTTTTTTTTCATTAATTCAGTGGTGCCCTAATCTCTCTCCACATAATAAAAAACTGCATGAACCACAAAGGTGCTGGCCATTGAAAAGAAGATTGTGCCAAGGAAAACCCATTCCCACATTTGATCCAAAGTGCAACACAAATAGCATTGACATTGCAGAATATGTAACCAAAAGTCAAACATGAAAGCAATAACAATGATTCAGGGAAGATCTCAACATACAAAAACATTCTAACCTAGCACACATTACTACCATAGCACAAAGTAATACTTCGGTTTTCAAATCAAGGAGGACGTTAATTCTCGGACTTCTGACACAACCTGGTCGTATTCGGCCTTCAACTTTTCTTGCTCCTCCGCACTGAGTTCCCCCTTGTTAGGCTTGGTTGACACCAAAACGCAGCATGTAGGCCTCTTTGTGGCCCCCGCATTTGCAAGATCCTGAAACCACCATTTTAACGGGTTTTACAAATCTGATTCTCGTCAAATATGCAAAAAGGAAGTGGATTTTCTGCACCTTAAGCATGATACTATAATTCCTCAGTCCCAATATGATTTTGCAGAGAGTTAAGGTAATGGGAAGATGAGTTTGGAACAGTAATATAGGATGAAAAATATAATTATGGGACGATGGTAGTATATCAGATGAAGATCAGGAAAAAACTTACTTCTTTTGACGAAACATAAACATATGGAATATCAGCTTCTTCACACGAGATTGGCACATGGGTAATGACATCTATAGGAGATATGTTCCCAGCAATCACACAAAATCTGTAACAAAACAAAAAATGTTGAAGTTCTAAATGTGCATGCATCGCCAGGGTAAAAAGATGAAAGCTATATGTTCATTCCATACAAAAATTCCACTCAAAACATATACGATGGATACCCATTAGTTCAATATACTCCATACAAATATAAGTTGAATGCTTTAGATCAATTGTACATAATCTACCTTCACACCAACCCCTCCCCCTCAAAGTTCCAACATAAGTATGTTTTCAAAGAATGAATTGTTTCAAAATCAGTGTCCAATAGTCCACATTTTTCATTCTTCATGTCTTCAAGAAAAAAGAAATTGCTTCCTTGTCAAGTGAAGCCTCTCTCATATATCTGCATACACACACCCTCCTCAGTCCCTACTCTTTTGGGACCCCCTTAAGGAGTAAAAGATTATTTTTTTTTTTGGAAGTGAGGAAATTGGGGACCAAATCTATCAAGACATTGAAAAAACACTTTGTGTAGAGGGAGCAAGAAAAAGGCACAGGCTTCATGACAATTGCAATATGTAATGTTTCCAGTTGCTATGATAAAGTAAAATAACAGCACATAAAAAGGCTCTCAGTCTGTTCAAGGATGAACAAAACTTCAAAAATGATTTGTCTAACTTAGAAGCTCAATTTGTTTCAAGATGAATAAAAATCAGAAATTTATATGAATTAATTAGGTAAATCAGCCAGAGTAATGGAGACTGACCCTTTGTTTCCACGCCGAATGCTTTTCATCACCTCCTTCACGCCTCGCTTCAAACACTTGTTCTCCGCAGCTGAGCTCCATAAACAAAAAATTTCAAAAAATTAAATATAAAAAAAGATGGAAGAACAGATCAAATTATGAATTTGTCACAAAAAAAAAACACACACACACACACAAAATCATACCGCGCCGGACGAGCTTGAGGGTGCGCTTGCTGAGTTTCTTTCCGGCGAGGGGTTTGGCGATCGGGGCGAGGGCGAAGAGCTTCTTCTTCTCCTTGAGAGCCGATCTCTCTGCTTCGCTATCGCTCCCCATTCTCTCGGACTTGACAGAGAAATCAGTTGTTCGATCTTAGGGTTTATGGTGAGAAAAAAGGAAGAAGAGATTGGTTGAAAGGGTTTAGTATTGGGCCTGATTCGATTGAACATAAATATATTCGTATATCGTCTTACGCCCGTACATGGTATACCCTAATAAAAAAACATTCACCTCGGCCCATTGTAAAATAGGGCCTAGTTATGTAGCACTCCTTACTTTACTCTCTCCATTCTTTTACCAATCTAAAATATTTCCATTTGACTTTTATGGTCTCTAATGTAATATTTTAATAATTAATATTTTTTTTATATATAGTTATATATTATAAAATAAAGTATTTCAAAACTATGTTTCAAAATTTAAAAAATTTGACCAAGAAAGTCAAATTAAGAAATTTTATATATACATACATACATCCACACACACACACACACACATATATATATATATGGATGTATATATATAAAACATTTCATATTTCAAAACATATTCGAACCATGCATCAAAGGCTAAAGACATGACGTTCCAAACTATGATGATGGTTTTAAAATAAGAGTAATGATGATTTCATATTGGGAAGAGACGTGATTACTCATCAGGCACCTCACACTTCCAGTTTGTTGGTTTGACTTTTTAATGACACTTTAAAATCTTATTTTCTAGTTCTTAATTACTTCATTATATTTTCTTACATTGCTAAAACAAGAAGCGGACTGAGTTGGAAGGGCTTGTGATAAATATTCGAGGAATTAAACATCTAAATACAGAGTATATGAAGGTCATTTATATCTAGAAACGAGATGCTTAGTCTAATCCATCCATCACAAAAACGTGGGTGAGAAGAGCTACTATAGCCCAACTTAAAAGTGAGGTAGAAGTCCTTATGATTTGGGTCGTGAGTTTTTAGGGTCACGAGCAATGCCAATCCGACGAACATAGATGAACACATGCGAGTTGTAGAAAAAAGAGTGCTTCATAAATGACTAATAATAATCTTTGATTAGCTCCACTAATTGTGGATCGTAAGTGCCTCATTGATGTACTCTAAACAGGGGGCGGATCTTTGCCCTAGTAGTAGGGGGCAATGGCCCCAAACTAACTTCTAGGTCTTTAAGGAATTAAGGTTAATTTTTTAATTTTTTTTACACTCATCCATTATTTGACCCCAACTAAAATTGAAGAGACCCCAACTAAAGTGTGTTTCAATGCATATAATTATAAGTAATATTTTAAAATATAAAATCTTAAATTGTTTATTCAAAAAATCACATCACAAAAATATTTAAATAAAATTTATAACTTTTTTTATTATTTTAAATTTGCTAATGAAAAAACTTAGGTGCTTCACCTAAGCCCCAACCTTCTGTGCCTCCAATTATTTAAATTTCTTGAACCGCCACTGACTCTAAATGCATCACTTGCGCATAAAAACTAGAAAAGATCATAACTCACAAGTCTAACACTGGTTTAGTCTTTTCCTTTAACTTGGGATTAATTTAGACAACTTGTCTTGACTGTCTATCGTAATTTCTCACCCATATTTGCCCTTGGTAATAGTATTTATTGTTGTCAACTCTTGCCAAACGACTAGATGGGTAGGGGTGGGGATAAGGGGTGCAACATTTAGAAGTACGAGGTGATATGAAAGATCAATTTTTTTAAAATAGAATTGTAATATCTGACATTACCATCATTTTTTCAAAGACTTCTATGGAGTATGGACATGGCTTCCACTTTGGAGTGAAAAGGTAGGCAAGTGTTTTTAAGTTTTGATTTTTTTCTTCAATTTTCCTTTTCTTCCTCAAAGAGTGAAAGAAGAGGGCTTTCCTCCTCCCACACCAACCTTTTCTTCAGCCATTCCGGTAAAAGGTACCATTCTTGAGAGGGACACTCTTCTGGGTTCATCGGTCATTCACGCCTCACGGGAGACCAGGCCTCTCCTTCTCCTCTCCAGAGTCAAATTGAGCTTCGAATAAGCTTCACTCCATTACAGGCTCATCTGATTTGGGAGCTTTGGTCGGACAGATTGAGTTGTGGGGTCGATGGGGAGCACTTCGCTAGCTGGATTGAAGGATCATTTGAAACTTGCGAGAGAATACGCCATTGAAGGCCTCTACGACACCGCCGTCATCTTCTTCGATGGCGCCGTTGCTCAGATCAACAAGTATAATCTCTTCCTCTACTTATTTGTTTCTGCCTATTTATTTATTTATTCATATGAATATGGCTGTTTTCTGCGTCGGTAACTTGAATCGATGCAAAGATTTCATTTTGGAACTGTTTTTTATTCATCTATGGGATTGTAGATTTGTGCGGTTATATGAACGAGATGTGTTTAGAAGTAAAAGATCTTTGTGCGTTTATGCATGAAAATGCAAGAACTGAGCTGCTTGAGTGGTGGATTTAGCAGAACATAGAGGAATCCTAAATTTGTACTCTACACAATTCTCTGGTTTTAAAATGCATTTCTGCAAACTTTTGTTCATGTTAACTTTTTGGACATCTCGATACTTTTGAGGGTATAAACTAAATGAAGATTAATACAACACCAACAACAACAAACCCAATGTGTTTCCATAAGTGGGGTCCAGAGAGGGTAGGGATTGTGCAGATCTTAACTCTACCAGTACAGGGTAGAGAGGCGATTTCCAATGAAATGCAGATTGCTCTAAATGAGGAAAACGTTCATTTCAACATATGTTCCATACGATATATACTATATATGCATATAAGTAGAAAAACACTTGTGAGTTGTTAGAAGGGGATGCGATAGAAGCCAGGTTTCATTCTCTTACTACTAAATGTTGTTCTCTTCCCATTAGGCAGAATTTGAGGGTAAAGTCATATAAGTTCTGAAATTGTGATGGTTACTTTATCTGATTGGAAATTTGGGGGAATCAGTCTAAACTAAATTGTCATGTTGATTAATTATGGTTGAAATGTAGGCATGTTAACACAATTGATGATCCTTTGCTTCGATCAAAGTGGATGAATGTAAAGAAAGCAATACTTGAAGAAACAGAAGTTGTTAAACAGCTGGATGTGGAGAAGAGGTCTTTGAAAGACGGTCCTGCTGGTAGACGTCCTTTGTCTCCTCCAATTTCGAGTAAATCGGCATCATCATTTCTCTTCCAACCACTGGATGAATACCCTACTCCATCCAGTGTTCCAATGGATGATCCTGATGTTTGGAGACCTCCACCAAGTCGAGACAGCGCATCTAGAAAGCCATCAAGAGCAGGTGATGTTGGTATTGAATAATAAATTCCTTTAATTGATATGGCTATTAACTTACAGCTTCATAACTTTCAAAATCTTTACAATGCGTATATAGGGAAATTATGGGCCTAAACCTATTAGGAATAGGACACTTAAAACTTTAATCTATTGAGAATAGGAAATAACAAAAACAACAAAACTAGGATTATTACTCTTTCCTGTACTTTAGCAGGTATGAGAAAGTCTCCTCAAGATGGTGCTTGGGCACGCAGCTCTTCCACTCCTACCAGAACAGGAACCCCTGGTCGAGGGGGAAAGCCTGGATCTGTTAAGGCTAACACAGCGACTCGAACATCAACAACAACAAAGAAAGGGAATGGGAAGTCTGCAAAAGTTGAATCACCTGTAAGTTATTTTGGAATTCTGCTCTGGTATGCTTGAAGCATATTTTCCCAAGAGTTTGCATGTGTAGTGTTGTCGAAAGTTTTTTAGGCTTGTTTCGATGGAGGGTTTTGGAGAACCAAAGGGGGTCACTTTTACCTTTCTCCATTTTTTCTCATTCTGTTTTCTTACCAAACAAGGGAAAGTCTTTGTTTCTTTCCCAATTCTCTCATCCCTCTTCTTTCCCCCCCTTAAATCACTTCTTCCCAACAGACTAAGATGAAATATAACCTTGTCTTCTATGAAGTCAGACATTTACTTATTACATTCATTGCAGAATGGTGAGGGTGAAGATGGGAAGGCTAAAAAGGTGGAATATGAGGGTCCTGATCCAGACTTGGCAGCTATGCTTGAGAGAGATGTTTTGGAAACAAGCCCCGGTGTGAGATGGGATGATGTTGCTGGGTTAAGCGAGGCAAAAAGACTTCTAGAGGAGGCTGTGGTTCTCCCATTATGGATGCCTGAATACTTCCAGGTATTAATTGAAGTGTTTAGAGTGTTTACTTAATCTAATGGTGTGTTTGTTAGAGGGTAAATGGAGTGAGAAACATATGTACTGGAGAAAAGCAGAGTTGAAGTAGGTTTTAAAAAAATGTACAGCTTACATATAAGCATTTGCATGCTAAAATAAGGAAAAATTAAGGACTCAGTGCCACACCTAAAATTGAAAACTTGAAAGTGAATACCACTATTATATTCTAGCCATTCTCACATATTTCTAATTCTATTTTTTCTTATCTTCCCTCCCTACTTCCCTCTCCATCTTTTTTATCACCATATCAAAGAAAGCCTAAAATGTGAATAATGGATGAAAAGGCTGAAGTCAAAACACAAAATATTCACTTTAAATACTTGAATTCTTATTTGAAATCTTCGGTGAATCTTGACTGAAAATGAGAGAATGTAGATAAACTTGATGAATCATCAAAGTGCATCGAGAGAGATGTGTATGGACTATGGATTGGTTTGACAAACTATTGTGTTGGCATATTTCCTGACAGGGAATAAGGAGACCCTGGAAAGGTGTTCTTATGTTCGGTCCACCTGGCACAGGGAAGACTCTTTTAGCAAAAGCAGTTGCAACTGAGTGTGGGACAACATTTTTTAACGTTTCTTCTGCCACATTGGCTTCAAAGTGGCGTGGAGAAAGTGAGCGTATGGTTCGGTGTTTGTTCGACCTTGCTCGTGCCTATGCTCCCAGCACAATATTCATTGATGAAATTGATTCACTTTGCAATGCTAGAGGGTATGCATCCAACCTTTTATATGTTAGCTGGCCGCAGACTATGTGGTTATCATTTATTCCTAATATCATGTATTTATAATTAACTTATCATGAAATAGCCTCAAAACCCCAAAATAAATCCCTCTTTGCAGTTTGCATCCGCCTTAGACCTTGTCTGATTGGGGTATTTTGGAGAATCGGAGGGGATGATTGGATAGATGGGATATTAGTCTATTATTTTATTATTATATTATGTAAATCATTGGAATGAAAGTGTATAAATTTATATAACCATACGTGACTTAAAAGATATAATTTTTTTTGTAGTTTCAAACTAACAAGTAGAAATATATTACTCCCTCCGTCCTATAATGATCTTCCCAGAACACTATTCCAACTTTACGGGAATTTATATTTATTTGTGTTTTTTCATGGCCTGTATGATAAAATAAAATATTCTTGACACCACTCGTTTTGTTGAACTTTTGATGTAGTTTTTAAATATGTATGTTTTATTTTTTATTTTTATACCAATATTTAAATAAAATAGATTGAAAAAACTTGGAATTTTTCTTCGTTTTGCGAACCGGGAAGATCATTATAGGACAGAGGGAGTAATAAAAAGCCCTCCAAAGTTCTCCAACCAAACAAGCCTATTGTGTTCACTTTTGCATTTAGTCCAACTATAAAGAAAGTCAAGTTTCTAACTTTCTATATTGGTTGTGCATTTATTTTTCAATTTTTTGAATTTCAAAATAGTAGTGATTCATTTTTTAACTAACATTACAAAAGGGTAAAAGTGATACTTAGCAACTAGTATTTCGTATTCTCTGCCCAAAAATCAATGCCCCTATTTGCATTGGCATCATTGTGTAAGTTGACATGTTGGTCACACTGTGGGTTGACTATGTGCATTGTCAATATTGAAAGGACCCCCTCCCACATAATACTCTAAAAAATTGTTTTACGAGGCGTATCATATTTTGAATCAAAAGAATGGTGACTATTTACTTCATCAGGGCTTCAGGAGAGCATGAATCATCTAGAAGGGTAAAGTCTGAACTTCTTGTTCAAGTGGATGGTGTAAACAACTCCTCCACCAATGAGGATGGAACACGAAAAATAGTGATGGTTTTGGCAGCCACAAATTTTCCTTGGGATATCGATGAGGCATTGAGGTCAATCAAGTTTTTCTTTATTAGTTTTTAATTGTCATGTATGGTTTTATCCTCTCCTTGACTTAAGTGTGTCCATGACAAATCCAGGAGACGGCTTGAAAAAAGGATATACATTCCCCTTCCAAGTTTTGAAAGCCGCAAGGAGCTTATCCGGATCAATTTGAAAACCGTTGAGGTCAGATTCATACGTGTATTTCTTTGTTGATTTCAAATTTGGCTTTCACATGGATACTTGTGTTCTTTTGCGTTATGGTGAATGGCCTAGTTTGAACCCTCTTAAATAGTTGCTAGGCCTTCCTCATAAAAAAAGGTGCTCGAGTGGGTTCAGGCCGGGCCGGAGTGGGGGGGGGGATTTACCCGGGAGGTCAGAGGGATAGGAACCATCAATTTTAGAAATGGGCCATCGTAGATGCCTCAATTTGAGCTGGTGTCATCCGTTGACACTCAAAACAAGTGTTAACGGAATCTAGCCAATCTTCAAAACACATTTGCAAATATCAATTTCCTTCCTTCCCAAACAATGGAACCTGTGGGTGGGGGGGGATCATTTTCTCCTAGAAAACANCCCCCCCCCCCCCCCCACAACCAAACACACCCTAAAAGTTCATCTCTTCTTCTTCTTCTAACAAAAGTGGCACGACGAACCAGGTGGCAACAGATGTGGATATAGACGAAGTGGCACGAAAAACAGAGGGATACAGTGGGGACGACTTGACAAACGTGTGCCGAGACGCGTCTTTGAATGGGATGAGGCGCAAGATAGCAGGGAAGACGAGGGACGAGATCAAGAACATGGCCAAGGATGAGATCTCCAAGGACCCTATCGCAATGTGCGACTTCTTGGAAGCCATAAAGAAAGTCCAACCCAGTGTTTCCGCAGCTGACATTGAGAAGCACGAAAAGTGGTTCTCTGAGTTCGGATCTGCCTAATGAATGGAATCATCTTTTCATTTGCTGCCATGATCTTCTTGTGCATCTTTGAAAAACATAATGGGTTTATGAGGATGAATTGCTGTTGTGATTTTCTTGTAAATTTTAAGTTTCTTGTAGCTCTGAAGCAGAAAATACAATACTGTGCTTGTAATTGATTTATGTTTATTGAGTTCAATCAAACGAGAGTTGATACTCATTTTGGTCCCTGTTAGTGTATCACTAACCATTTTTCTCTATTCTCTTTCCATATCATCTACTTTTGATGCCACGTCATTTTCTCATTCAATTTTCTCTACCACTGATTATTGTTCTACTTTTTTCAATATCTTTTTTAGATGTTATGTTCTTATTGGTGCATAAGAAAAATATAAAAATTTAAAATGTAATGGACCAATAAATAAATCACGTTAATTGACGCAAGGGTAATGATTCGGTGCATTAGTTTTTGTGTCAATTAACTTGCTAATTAAGAACTTTAGTCGATAAATTTTTATGTAAAGAAATACCTAATTTGATTCACATTTCCTAGCTACAGATCCAAAACGAGTATTACATCAATCAAAACTTACCATAATGGTTCAAACTAGACCAGACCAAATTAGATTTTAAAAAATTGATCACATTTTTTTCTTTCACCTAAAGAAACGAATCCTTTAGCAAAGGCTATGTTTGGCAGTTGGCACTTCACGGTATAACTTTCTACTCCCTATTATTGACACCTATGAACACCAGCTCACTAGATATTTATGTATTTTCTGTGCTTTGAATCTAGTTCTTAGTACCTATTTGTGTATTTTTTTGGATGTTGTCACAAAATAATAGTCTTGTCATCTTTTGATGTCGTTTTGTAATATGTAATTTTTTTTAAAAAAAAATCTATACCAATTTTTAACTAAATTGAGTTAAAAATAATTTCAATCAAACTTTGACAAGCGATTTAAATTAGGACGTCGGAGAGAGTATTCACTTAAAAGTGAGATATTTTTAAAGTTGACAACTAAATCAAAGTAGTTTCTTTTTTTAATTGAAACAAAGTTTATTTTTTAAAAAAAAGAAATAGAATAGAATTGAGCTTTCCTAGAGGAGCTTTTAGAAAACCTTTGTTTTACAGGTCCAAATTTTCTTTTTTATCAATACAACCCCTCTTAGGTTGAGATCACACAATGGACAACAAACATGAAATCCATGTGAAATGAAAACAAATTTGTGGTAAGGAATTAAAACAATTTTTTTTCTGTCATAAAAGTTACACTCTAATGAGAGAGGTAAATGAGAGGGTAAAATGCCCTCACCAATTACACCAATTACAGAAGGTAAATATACCCTCATACACAACAAGAGGTAAAAAGAAAGGAAGCGGTTTTTGATGGTGGCGGGAAGAATTGCACACTTTCAGGAAAGGTAAATTTGAATTTCTGGAGGGGTAAATGAGACATTTACCTCTCCAAGATAGCTTTCACCATTGGAGTTGCTCTAAATGGGTTGGTAACTTGGGGTGGTCAAAAGAAAAAGAGGTGATTCCCATTATTTCCAATTTATTTCCATAAACTCTATATTTTGTAAACCACACAAATCACCCCATCTATCTTTTCTTAAAAATCTGTTGGGGGAAAATGAGGTATAAGAAAGAGAAGCTTTTTTGGATCAAGTAGCAGAGGCAAGTGGAAATTATGAAGAAGACGATGAATTACAGTAATTGAACTCAAACAAGAAAAAACACACACAACAAACGTGCACTTCCACTGGAAAACGAAAAAAAAGGACCGATTCAACTTGTTTTTTTTCTTTCAAAAGGACCGATTCTCAAACTGTGTCAGAAATATGAGACTCAAAGCAGAAACCTCAGATGATTCGCTCCAATTCCCGTGCATAACTGAGTGTTTGGTTGATAAGGTGCAAAGACGGTATCTCCTTGCAAGGCGCCGAATCTTTCACTCGTTGAAAAATGATGAGCCCGTCCTTTACCACCCACTCGGGGTGTTCCTACAAAAGGGCAAAGAAATGATCTCAACAATCAAAATCGATTCGAGATTAAGCGTGAAAACAAGGTGATGTCAGTCTTACCTCAGTAACATATTCCAAAAGTTCTTGGTCTGAGGAGAAAAGTAGCATTTGCTGGGCATCTTTTATTGAAAGAGAGTCATAGGCTTTTTCGCTGCATCCAGCTATCTCATCCCTAGTCAAGGCAAGCCATATTATGATAATGTATTTGAGGACTCAAACCTAACCATTACTTTTGAGGTTGTCGTGTAATTGGTGTACATTGTAATATCCAAAGCTCTGATCATTTACTACCCATGAATTTTTATCGGTATTGCACAAAAAAAATTAAAACAAAAAAGCATTTGAAAGAAATAACATGTGGCCTTTGAAGTGACTTTAATCTACAAATGCAAAGAAAAGAATCAAGGGGGATAAAAAAATGATTCAGGGGTGGAGAGAGGGAGGGTTACCTGACAGTCTTAGCCAGAACATCCATGAAATAAGCATAGGCTTCATGAGGCACTGCCTGTCTGGCACTTAACACACGGTTGTAAGCTCCTTCCATAAATGATTGCTCCAGCTCAACAGCATGTTTTATACAAGGATTCTCCAAGGCATTTGAAGAAAGCAACTCCAGTTCAGTGTGGAACTCTGCAATTCGATTTTGAACCAGTAGTCTCAAAAGGTTGAGACCCAGAATGGGGTATTCTTGGGGGGATTGAGGAAGTTTTCTGTTTCTCCATCACAAAAACAAAATAATATTTCTTTAAATCATATATCATAAAATAGTAATGACTACAACATGCCTAATCTTAAAAAAGATTTGGTAAATGGAGAGCATTTCCAATTGATTGTGATTTGCACTGAAAAACATAATGGATTCAAAAAAATAATAGGAGCGGTCATTTTGGGTTAGAATAAGTTTAAATCAAATTGGGGACCAAAATGAAACCAAACACAACATGGTTTAGTTTTGATTCAGGTAGGTCAATCTTTAACTGATGTTTCGTGTTTTATTCGTTTGTTTGGTTTTGGAAAATGGTACTCCCTCCGTCCACAAATAAACTTCCCGTTCATTATCCACAGGGTCAAACTTTATTCACTTTGTTGGTCTATTTTCGTCACCCATTTGATAAAATAATATAGTTATGTCACCTCTAATTTTGTAGATCTTTTGATATAGTTTTTTAATATGTAATTTTTATTTTTAAATTTTACATCATTTTTTATATAAAATGATTTGAAAATAACTCCAATCAAACATTGTAACGTGCAACAGGAAGTTTATTTGTGGACAGAGGGAGTAAAATTTTGGTTCAGTTGATTAAATATTTGGTTCTGCTAGGCTAAACCGAACCAAAGGTGGCCACCAATTATAAAAATATTAGCCCCAAATTAATCTAATATCCATCTTTCCAGTTGATTTGACCAACATCATGAAAATTAAAAACAAATGGGGATGCTAATAATGGTCACCGTGCATCTGTGTAATAAGGCTTCAGCTGAAAGAAATCTCTCTCAAAGGCATCTTGATCCTCCATCTTCAAAGCTAAAATAACTGCATGTTCATATATATCCCCTGCAAAATTAAGACAATATGTTATTAAGGATATTATTATAATAGATGGCTAGAAACAGAATCTTTTGAAAGCTCAAAAGTTGAATGTATTGAATATAAAAAGGCGCAAGCCATTATATATATAATCTGAGATCTACCTATTTTGCAAATCTAGACCAGAAGGTATCGAATGGAAACCTATAAAAACACTGCAAGTTCAAATAGGAGATTCTAGATAAGATGACCTTCACCAAAAAAGAATTGACACAACTAGTAACACACATGATGACACATTAGTTTTTGTGAACTCCAATATCAATCAATGGCTAGATTTTCTATATCGTATTTAAACCATTCCTTCACAGTTCACACAATGAACAAATGCGACTTTTAACACCTGAAAGTTCCACAAACACTTCCCCCCTTTACCCACTCCCAAAACATCCCTGCTACTGTATGTACATTTCTTATTATCGCATTTCATAAGCCCAGAGAGGTTTATTAAAACAAGGTGGAGATCTTTATCTATTAAAACGGTCAACCAAAAAATCAAGATGATTTGTCAGAAATCAACATAGAGAACCCAGAGTTAAGAACATTACTTGCAATTGTCAACTCTTGGACTGCATTCGGCGTTTCTCCAAAGACAGGAGGAAGGCTCTTAAATTCTGTTAGCATAACCTGTAAATATTAAAGCAATTCAAATTAAGGAATAGAGTGAATTGAAAATTATTCAACAATGAGTCCTCTCTCTCTCTGCTATATTCAAGTAAAGAGATCTGTCAGTGTACTAATGGGTGTTTCCAGCAAATTACACTGCTATAATTTACTCTGAAATTCTTTACTGAACCAGGATTATAATGAGCTTATCCTATAAAATATGCAACAACTTAATGCTCGTAGTACTATGTAGCAAAACAAAGATCCAATAGAATTATTATAACTTGCTGTAAATACAGGTGAATTGTGGAAATTGCACAACTCAACAGATGTTAGCATCCTCGTAAATTGTGGGTTTTACTGGAACCAGTAAAAATTTCAAAGAATAGTTTGGGTCCAACATGTGAGAAACAATCTTCTTTTACATCATATTAAAGACGCAGCTGCTTTAAAATCAACATTAGTCAATCTTTGTTCATAATTTTTCAACCTAGGCTCATATCATTCAAAAATCAGGAATGGCTTCATATTTTCAAAAAAAGCACATTTTCCAATTTCGAAAAGATCCAGAACAATACCCAAGAACCTTAAAGAGATCGTCTCAAAGCAAGGCTCGAGCTAATAATGCGCCTTATGGCGAGCAAAGTAGAAGTGATTTATCCGCAGTCAACAGTTCAACTCAACAGAATCGTTCAAGGCCAAGAAACACAACAGACTCATATGCTCTAGAATCAACTAATTCCAGAAGTAGAAAAACTAGGGTTTCGGATTGGAATTGAAGCTCTGCAAATGTTACCTTGAGTTGGGGGAGAAGCCCCGTGCAGGTGTCGAAATCTTTGCGCATCAAAGCGGCCTTGAATCGCTCGAATGACTGAGAAAGCGCCGTTAGATTTGGATCCATCTCTGCAAGATTTCGCTCGAGCTCTCTGATTCTGTGCTTTTGTGTATCGGCTTTTTCCTCTCCTCGTCTACAAGCAAACTGAGGCGATGGTGAAAAGAATAGGGGTAGAATTCGAGCTATATTGGTAAAAATGTACTCCTTGTGATATTTTAAGGTGAATACTCATTTTCAAATAATAAAATATTCATTTTTAAATATTGAATACTCATTTTCAAATCTAATGATATTTTAAAAAAAATGAATATCACTTGAAAATGAGTATTTAGTTGATCGACAGTGAATATTCAGTTACTCGTAAAGAAGTATTCAGTTGATCGATAATGAGTATTCAGTTACTTGTAAAGAAACACTCGATTGTAGAGTATATGTTGCGAAAAATCAAACCAGACTTAAAATGAGGACTAGTATAATTCAGGTCGATTTTGGTCTAAAACGGATTTTTGGGTAAGACCGGTATGATCGTGATATGTTTATTTTTTATTCTTTTCTCGTGAAATAGTAGTCATATTTGATTATAATGATTTTGTTGTTTATAACTTTAAGTATAATATTTGAGTTTAGTTTTTTACATACTTTTATATGCAACTTATTCTTGGCGAGATAAAAATGTATTAAAATGGAATTTCATCAATATTTTTGAAACCTGACAAACTAACATAAGTATAAATTTTATTTTAAATGTATCATATTATTAATAGAAAATTTGTAATTTGACATTATTTTTTGAAACATAATCAACGAATACAAAAGATTAAAAATAAGATTAAATCAAGTTCGATAGCCAAGAAACAAGTTGAAATTGTCTGACAAAAAATGATGGTATGTTTGAGAACTTGGATTTGGATTTCAAATCTAGATTTTGCTCAAATTTCATGTTTGGAAAACTATAAAACTTTGGATTTGTATTTGAGTCAAATTCCTTCCAATTCATAACAAAGCTCAATTTGAAATCCATATGCTTTCTCTTGTTATTCGAAATTCAAGAATTTAAATTTTGGAATTGAAATTAAATGGTAGTTCCCAAACACCACCTGAAAGAATTCCTATTTTTCCCATCTAAGACTGACCAGACTACAAGTACAAGACAACTCTTGAATCTTAGTTGAGTTAGTTCTACATTCTTTCTTGATAATGAGGATCATATAAAATAATATAAAATGATTTATTTTGAAAATCAATAAATAAGGAAAGATATTTCGAGGTTAACCTTTAAGTTAAGCAAATTTTAGAAAAATTAAATAAAGATAAAGGCTTGTCAAAAAAATTAAGGGGCTGTTTGTTTCATCCTCTTAATGGTTCAGATGTCTGAATGATTCAGCACTTAATGGTTCAGACTGTTTGTTTCAGCCTCTTAATGGTTCAGTTGTCTGAATGGTTAAGAGATTTGCCTCTGAATGGTTAAGTATTATACAGAGTCTGAATGGTTAAGAGCTCTTATCTGAATTGATCAGACATTTGCCTCTGAATAGTTAAACAATATACTAGCTCTTAATGGTTCAGACCTCTTACTGGTTCAGCACTTAATGGTTCAGCACTTAACGGTTCAGACCTCTTACTGGTTCAGCACTTACCCATTCAGAAGTTACCAAACAGCCCCTAAGATGAAGAGGTCTTTCAAAAAAAGATGAACCTCTTAAAAGAAGGGCAAATTCTTTCGTAGTTTTAAGATCCATGCTCGTGTTATGAATCTTAATTCATTAGTATTGTAAAAGAATTGGTTCTTTAGCAAAAAAATCAATCACCTACTAGTCTATGGAAAATATGAAAAAGATGCACATTTCACATGTAAATTTTAGAATCACGGAAGAACAATTCAATTAGAAGATAAGCAATTAACTTAGAGAAAAAATTACCTTAGCCCATGCAAACTTCCCTAGTGTGACTCGACCCTTCAATTAACATTAGTTGACTTATGGGCATTAAAAAATTTGACCCTATAATTGACTAATTTTAATAGGTACAATTGAATATGGGTAGGAAGATGGGTTCAAATCCGGCCACGCCGGAGAGTTTATTAAGGGATAGAAACAATCAAGTTTATGATTAGAAAAGTCTAGGTAATCTAACTAAAATGGATGTCATATGGAGCCACTCGGCTAGTGCTGTCAATGAATAGCCGAAAATCCGATTACCGTCCACATCCGTATCTGATTAAAGAGGAAATATCCGCATCCGTTTTAAACAGACATTATCTGTATCCGACTAAGGATATCCGATTACTAAACAGATACAGATTTAGTAACTGTATATCTGATCCGTTTAAAATCCGATCCAAATACGCATCCGTTTAAATAACCGTTTATTCGAATATCCGATCCGTTATGTTTATATTTTGTTACTCTATTGATATTTTAAAGTATAAAACATTTTTATATACAAAATAAATGTATAGACATATAAAAGTGACATATAAAAATATGTGTATATATGTGTTGTGTACATTTTTTTATCATATGAAGTTATTGTAGAATATCATAAATCATAAAAACAAAGAAAATAATTATCTCATAACAATTTTGTGTTGATTTAATAGTTTGACTTTAATCTAATTTAAAATTAAAATATTGTTTAATTTGATTTTAAAAATTGGAAACAGATACGGATATATCCGATATCCGACCGATATCCGAAGGATGCGGATACGGTTTTGATTTTCAAAATCCGTCAAGATCCATATCTGAATTCGATATCCGACGAAAATAAACGGATACAGATTTGGTAATGACACATACGAGCCAATTGATATCCGTTTACACCCCTACACTCGGCTCTAGAACCCTACCCTTTTAAAAATAAGCCATAACATAAAGAAGGTTTCCATGAAATTATGCCTTAGTACACCTCAACATTTTGGGGCATACCCTCAAATCACTGTTGAAGCTTAAGTCTATGAGGCTTAAATGAACCATATTTGCTCCTCAATGCCTCTACGAAGGTCGTCTTGATCTTACGGCCATCATCATCAACGAGAGCCTTGAGAGAGTCCGAAAAAGAATCTTAAAAACTCTTTTAATTATAGGTCAAAGTTTGATTAAAAGTCAAATTAAGACAAATAAATTAGGAAGGAAAGAGTGCATAGTTACGATCGCCTTGATCGTGTTTAAAAACGATGGTGATATACACATTTTAAATGGCGACCAAGGAGATCTCAGACTTAAAACCATGTATGCATAAAATAATCGATAACATAATTATACTCTATTCGGAATATCATTTTAACAAATGATTAACAAATAGTATTTAAACGAGACTTTAGTTTTGAGACAGGAGAACTTAACTAATTACTCGTACAAAAATAAAGAAATATAAATATTACTGAGCATTTTTATTTATTTAACTCTATTTACAACAACAAAAAAACTTTACTTAGCAGCATCTCAACTGCAGTTTGCATGGGCTTATTCTTAGGCCTAATCAATCTACTTTGTAACACACAGTACAAGTTTTTTTAATATGTTATTTATGTACAGACAAGTTTTGTTTTGTATCTTTTTACCGCTTTTGGAAATTGAAGAGCTTCATACAGAAAGCAAAGATGAGTGCAAAGAGGAGCACAAAAGCAGAGAGAATGGCAGCAGTTTCTCCCAAGAAGTCTCGTCTGAACCCGAAATAAACCCTCAAGAAGCTCTCCACCGTGTCGAACGTCTCCAAAACATCCTCAACGTCTCCAAACTGCGACCCCACCAATCCGTATAGCGTCCAAGCAACCGGAGACAGCAGGTAACACCATCTCCACCACACCGGAGCAAGCTGCCATCACAACAAACACGACAACAACAACAATGATGATGGTGATGGTGATGATGAGCAATGATGAGAAATGCATGTTTTCAGGTTGAACGAAGTTATTTTAACAAACTTAGTTAACATTGGAAATGGTTGAAAACATACAGGCCGAGGGATCAAGAATCCGGAGAAGAGGTTCCATATTCCCAACGATGCAATCGGGAAGATGGATGCGATGTCCACATTCGGTGCTAAGGACACTGACATCATACCAAGGAAGGTGGAGTACAAGAATGTCAAGAACATGATTAGAAGGTACCAAGAAAATTTTGTAACCGTCCACTCGAATCCGATCATGGAATAGACCATGGTGCTGTAGATGATTGCTTGCAGCAAAACATATGGGAGCTCAATAACTACCTGCAATATAGATAGTATCAGAACAGCTAAAATGGCTGACATGAGAAAAATATCATGCTTAGAAGAAGAAGAAGAAAACGTTGGATTTATAGACCAAGATCTTATGTAGTTACGTGTCAAATTGAATGGAGGGCTTCAGAAGGAAAGACTTCAGATGACTTGGTATATGTCTTGGTCTATCATGTTATTTCTTAATTATTACTCCCTCCATCCCGAATTAGTTGTCCACTTTCTAAAAACTCTCATTTTTAAGATTAAGTTTAAAATGTCAAATAAATCCTTCAAATTAGTTTGTCACTCATTCATGTCAAGAATTTCACTCATGACTCATCTCTCAAATATTGTAGACAATTCATCATAGTTTCTTAGTGAATAAGGAAAGCAGACAATTAATTCCGTAAAACAAAAACAAGAAAGTAGGCAACTAAATCTGGACGGAAGGATAATAAAATATCAAGTACCCCTCCGTCCCCAAATCAAATTCACACTGGCATTTTCTGTCCATCCCAAAAAAAATCACATTTCTTCCATTTACTTTTAGGAAAAGAATATGCGGCTCACCACATTTATGTCTCTTCTAAACAAATCCCAATCACATGTTTCAACAATTTTCTTAAACTCTATAAAGTCAAACTAGGATTTTGATTCAAATACAGAGAGAATATATATTAAGATTTAGACTTCTGCCTAAAATCATATATCAAAATTGACCCTTAGACTGAGATTGTGAGCATACTGAAGCACAAGGGAATGGTAAGGAAGTGTTTTATTGCACGTAGAAGTAGGCAAGTAGCACATGGATGTGACTGTGTGTGCACATTTTCTGATTCCAAAGCCTTTTTTAATACTAAAAACTTGTTTGGACGCATTAATTTGCTTATTTTGTTTTTCAACAGAATAAACAGAACAAACAGCCATTGACTTATTTGGATGAAATCAGTTTTACCAAATGCATTTTCTTTCAAAGAGCTCAGCGGATTTGCCATTGGTGAGGTCTGTCCTGCCTGTCCTTGTTCTAGTGTGTGTATCTTTGATTAAAAAGTGTAAAAAATCGACACTATATCAGTACATGAATATGTATAATAACTGCTATAGCAAGTGATAGAGTAAATTCTCAGATGTCACAAATCAAATGCTCTAACTGTCACATTCAAGAATGAGAGTTGGGCTCGACCTTGGGCTAAACACCTAAACCCATCACTACAATATATAGCTGATGAGCATAGTTTTTTTTTTCCTTTCTTTTTTGTTTCTTAAGTTTATTCAAAAGTAAAAGGTATATTTACCATTGCGAAGGCAAAAGGCATGGCTGAATACATCCCTGCAGCTCTTTCTCTGTAAAATACAGTCCGCTCCAATACAACTACTTGTTGGACAGTGAATGCATTTAAAGCACCAGTAAAGAGAACCGATGTATACATAGAACCCATGGCATTGAACAAATCTTGTGCCTTACTCCTGCCAATCAAGATGTTGAAAAAAGAATTGGTCCAGAAATGTAGAAAATGTCAAACTCAGTTTATTATGAACTAGAACTTTTTCACCCATATTTTATTCCGGATTTATATTTTAAAGTTTTGGTAGAAAACTATGCATTTGTTACACTTTTGGTACTTCCGATAACTTCTCTGATACAACTTTACGTTGATTTTTTTAGGATTAAGCTACTTGAACCCCAAAATATGTACCTCAAATTGTACACCACATGTGTGCACCTTCGCTTTGTGCCAATGTGATGCCAGGATAATGGCTCACAAGACACAAAATTTTTGTACAAATTTTATATTATGGTACGAGCATTTTGTGCCAGTGTGAACCATCAAAATGTTACCGTAAATCCTTGGTGTACACTTTGGGGTACACTCCTTCGTGTAACTCTAGCATGGTTGATTTTTTTACGGTCAAGTGGCCAGAAAGGACAAAAATGTCAATAAATTCATAGGCATGCGCTAAATGAAGAAAAAATGAAAGGCGGGATGCAAAAGTGGGAACTGAATAGTCATGGGTGATGGGACTTATGAACTATGAATGTGTACCTCTTTAAACCAAGACCCCAGAACATTGTCCCAAAGACGAATGCAGTAACAATTGTGTAGAGGAATCTAAGTGCAGTGTAGGACATGTTATGCGAGTAAGACCATTGTTGCTTCCATAGACATGCTTTGAATTGAGTCAAGATAGGTTGTGAATATTTGGTAGGAAATTTTAGATCCCTTGAGCCAGGAGGGGGTGTGCTCAGTTGTTTTACCAACACCTTGTTTCTCCTGCAACGTCTCAGTTATTAGGGAAACTCACGGCAAACCCTTTTCTATGTTTTGTAATAAGAAAATCAAGCTTTATATATGGAGTATATAATTGATCATATTTTAGCAATCTTTCAAATGAAACAAATAGTTCTAAAGTACTCCCTCCGTCCACAAATTAACTTATAATTACTATTTTGGGCTCTCGATAACTTTTGTTGATTTGCGTGTTTTCATTGATAATTTACAACAACCCAGTTGAATAAAACAAGATGTGTTATCACATCTTGTTTTACAGAAATTTTGATGTACTTTAAAATATGTAATTTATACTTTTAATTTCTATATGAATTTGTAAATAAAATAATTTTACAAGAGATCAGATTTTGCACATTTTCAAACGGGAAGTTAATTTATTGACGGAAGGAGTAAAAAATAATAAAAAAAAAATCACTTAACAACAATACGGGGTATAATACATGTGCGGCAACATTTTTTAAAGAAAATAACACTTCCCAAACTTGTCATTTTCATACATAATGAGTAAATTCTATAGGTAGTCTTTTATAACAAAGTGTTTCCATAAATAGTCCTCAAGTCGAATTTATTATGTTTGTGGTCCTCTATATTTGAGAACTATTCCATGATGAGTCTTTTGGACCCAAATTTGTTTTCCACATATAGTCCACAAAGGACTGGTTAAGGAATAGTTCTCAAATATAGAGGACCACTGCACGAACATAATATCTTAGAATTGAAGACTATATATGGAAAACCCCATGTTATAAAGAACTATTTATAGAAATTACTCATTATTTTTCTATCCCACGCCAAATTCCCATTTAAAGGAGCCTTGGCTCCGCCAATGATGCCAACTTACAGGTATAGTTCTGAATTTCTGTAGATCTCGTTGAAATTAATCCCCAGAGCTTCTTCATTTTCACTTGCTGTAATTTCCAGCACCCACGTTGCGGGATTAAGACCCTTTCTTATTCTGCTGATTCCTTCAATACTCTAGATGAAAGAAGAAAGGAAGTACTCAAAATGAATATCATGACAACCATATAAATACCTCAAACCACTGACTCGTTCTGTGAAGCCCATCTTGTTTAATAAAAAGACAACAAAAGTGCAGGGAAACTTACCTCAAAATAATTTATTAAATGGCAAGAATGTTCCCCTAATGGGCCAAAATAAACCTCCTTCCCTCCTTGTGTCATTAGAAGCAACTGCAATAATCAATCATGGAATTATACTGCACACTGAATGAGATAAAAATGTGCCAGGTATCCCATAATGTTTCTCTACTGGGTTTGAGTCTAGTTTATAAGTTCGATGTACACCTCACCTATTAAGGATCCTTTTGGAGTGTGTCAGACTCAATTTAATAAAGAGGAAGTGAGACGTGTTAGCACATAGACAAGGAATCAATTACCTCATCAAAAGCTTCAAATATGTCAATGCTTGGCTGGTGGATTGTGCAAGCAATGGTTCTACCAGTGTTAACAATGTTCCGAATTGTCCTCATAATTATTGCTGCTGCCCTTGCATCAAGGCCTGTGGTTGGCTCATCCATGAACAATATAGAAGGATTCGCCACCAATTCAACTGCAATAGTGAGCCTCTTCCGTTGTCCAGTTGAGAGACCATTCAACTCTGGTAACCCAACCAGTGCTTCCCTCAAAGAGGTAAGTTCAACCAACTCCAGGACCTCCTCAATGAACATCTTTTAGGATTAACCGTGAAAATGAAAAAGAGGGTACGATTTAGGCATTCTTATTTAGTTACCAACAAATGTTAGAGAAAATTGTCATGCTTATTAGTTTTCATGACGATCTTCGCAAGTGGAAGTTAGGAACAACACTTTTTCTACCAAATATAAACATAGTAACATACTCAACTGCACCAACACTATATAATAAAGAATATTAAGGATATTATTTTGATTTATTGCTCTATTTAACACTATTTATCCCATAAAAAGAGAAATGGCTGTCTCCAATGAGGACGGGGCTCTAGTGGTGTGTTCATATTTGATGAATCACTACGGTCAAGGAACCCATTCAACCAAAAGCTCAAGCCTGTGGTTGTGGCTCAGGAATGATTGTTATATACTCTAACACGCCCCCTCACGTGCAGGCGTGACCTCTTTGAGCCTTGCACGTGAAACCTTAATTTTTTTAATCTGGGTGGCAGTGAGTTTCAAACTCGTGACCTCTTGGTCATCAAGGCTCCGATACCATGTCAAGGAACCAACTCAACCACAAGCTCAAGCTTGTGGTTGTGGCCCAGGAATGATTGTTATATACTCTAACAACTACCACAAAACTATACCCGTCAGAATAGTAGTTATGTTCACCCAAGAAAGTTGTGGACTTGTATCTCTAATACCATGTGAAATAATAAGAGAAATAATAGATTTCATGAATTTATAGGCCATAAATCTTCTTCTACGTCCTAGTTTTTTTCTAAATCAGCATTATCCCAATACAAAGATGACATCTCTCGGGTGATGTCATGCTTCTAGACAACTACTTTACTATTACCTTAACTTCTATATTCCACATACCACCAAAGAACAACTTAGGGGCTGTTTGGCAACTTCTGAATGGGTAAGTGTTGAACCAGTAAGAGGTCTGAACCATTAAGAGCTAGTATATTGCTTAACTATTCAGAGGCAAATGTCTGATCAATTCAGATAAGAGGTCTTAACCATTCAGACTCTGTATAATACTTAACCATTCAGAGGCAAATCTCTTAACCATTCAGACATCTGAACCATTAAGAGGCTGAAACAAACAGTCTGAACCATTAAGTGCTGAACCATTCAGACATCTGAACCATTAAGAGGCTGAAACAAACAGCCCCTTACTTTTACTATTGGAAAGGTACAACTGTTATATGTCATAAATGGTTACTTAATAATTTATAAGCATTTTGATAGTTTAACTAAATTTACCATTTTAAACTTGTTTGTTACTGTATTTGGGAAATGTTTGTGAAAATATCTTTGTTTTGATCAAGAATGACTTTTTTCAGAACAAAAAAAAACCTACAAAGCATGAAGGGAGTATTTTTTTAGATAGTTCAGCCATTCCAACTGGATTTACCCTTACCAAACGGGTTCCTTCCTGTATGGATTTATAATTCAGTCAACCATCATCATTTTTAGATAAGGTGAACTATGTTAATAAGAGTTTTAAAAGAAAAGTACTAATAAAAATCGTAAGTGACCTGCAAAAAGAGAAGTTAATGCAAATTTGGCCTTCAATTTCAGATCTATATACGGCATACTACAAGGGACAAAATCTTGTTCAGCTCCACATGTAAACTATTAGAGTTAACGATTTATTGTTTATGCACACTAACCGTTCGAATTTCTGAACTAACTTCTGATGGTAGGCGCAGCCAAGCAGAAAAAGTCAATGATTCATATACTGTAAGGTAAGGAGAGTGGATGTCGTTTTGTTCACAGTATCCAGAAATGCGGGCAAATGTTTTCTGCTTCTTTGCAAAGCCAGATATTGAAATTTCCCCTTCAATATACCCACCCGTTTTCCTTCCAGCAAGAACATCCATTAACGTCGTTTTACCTGCCCCACTAATGCCCATAAGAGCTGTCAGAATACCTGGCCTGAAAGCCCCACTGACACCTTTCAAAAGCTCAAGGCGTTCTTCCATGACTCCCAGATTCTTGATCTCCTGCAGACTCACTCTATTAAGACTACAATGCTTGAGCAGTACATATGCTTAACACTTATAAGTAGAATCCTGCTAAAATTATGAATAGGAGCATATCACAAATGTAACTAAAATGCAATGAATGATTTATTATTAAAGTTTAACAATGCAGATTACTGTTATAGTACTCGTTTGTGGTTCATCAGAAAAATCTTAAATTGTAGTACTATTATTTCTCACCAAAATAACAAATAGTGATGAGAGGTTTGTATTAGTTATTTTGACTAGCATTTTCGGACTTCAGATAGCGGCTAATCAAGAAATATATAGTACAGTTGACAACTTATCACTAGCTGATAACATGCAATACAAATTTCAAAGAAATTCTTATATTTTACTTCCTATCACTTTTGTAGTCGTAGTCGTAGTCGTAGTAGTAGTAGTAGTAGTGGTGGTGGTGGTGGTGGTGGTGGTAGTAGTAGTAGTAGTAGTAGTAATAATAATAATAATAATAATTTAAATAGAATTATGTCTTTCGGGGCACAGATTTATTGTATCAACTATCAAGTAATATTACCTGTGGCATGTCTAGAGAATATCTAATATCATTAAATGCAATGGAGTGCGGCTCAAAAGAAAGGGTCATCCCACACTTGCTGTTATTGGTCTCTGTCACGCCTGAAAACTTTTTGTTCGAGTTAGAAGTGATACATTTTTAGGCCTGTTCACAACCTCCGTGGCCATCTATGTAAACATATCAGGATAAAAAATGTTGGTGTGCATGCGTGTCCTGTTAACCACCACCCTTCCAGGTAGTTTAAGCATTATTGAGAATTGTTTTTTAGTCTTTTGCATTAGGACAAAAAATAATTCATCAAAGGCCGCATTAATCATTAAAAGATTGCAAGTTTTTTTTGAAAGTTACTCAGAATAGTCTATCATTATTGATGCTTAGATTGCTTATAAATGCCCCTAAAGGCTATGATTATCATTCTCTCTCTATCTCTCTCTCTCTATCTCTACCCCCCTCTCTCTAGAGAAAGAGAGAGAAAGAGGATAGAGAGAATAATGCTAGTGTTTTTCATTGAAAACCTACCTTCAGATTCTGGTGAGATAACGGTCGAAGAATGTGCAAGTGCTGCAAAGTGTAAACAACAAACTATTAGCATTAGAAATGATTACTATGTTAATTAACTGAAGAAACAGATAAATATTGTACGTTTGAGTGTTGCCAGAGCAAGAGTATAGAGGAAGTTTGATATAATGATGTATCCAATCAATGCCCCTACTCCAATCCAGTACCAATATGCCTTTGAGGAAAGCCCACGATACTTCAGTACTATAACACCAAGTGATTCCGATGAAAATGGAAGAACCTTTTGTACATGAATTGAAATGTAAGCAAGTCTCAAGAAATCACGAAAAGAGATGGAAGTGGAAACACATGGTGTATGTTTGGCACAACTTGAAGAAAATTTAGATGAAAGATGATGAGAATAACTAAAGTGGCTACTGGTAAAGCTATGGCAGGTATGACTCCATTATCTAAAAACAAGATTTAAAATATACATTTAAATTAATTGCAGAAAGTAATATGTAAAACATACTCAATTACCTACATACGTGCATAGTTACAATTATTAAAAAAATTATCAATTTCTTCCATTTGAGATTAAATGGTATGCCAAACAAGCGCTAAATCACAAAAGGAAGCATTTGAAATTTGAATAGGAGCCATCCTTACAATATTCCAGCTTTTTCCAAGGAATTCATTTACTGCTATAGCATTTTGACCATACATCAAAGGTGAAATCCAATAACCCCAAATCCACCATTTCTTCACATCCTCTGGGAGTATAATAAAAGAACTTGTAAGAGGATGAATAACCAAATAATGATGATGATAGGGTGTTGTTATGTCCACGCAATTATGGTTTAAATCCACTCTATTTATGGTTAAATGGAAAATTTTCCCCTTAAACCACAAAGAAAGATATTGAATGTTAGCCAACTTTTAAGGACAAATTTGTCCATTTAACGTAAATGGAGTGAATTTAGTCATAATGGGATGAATATAGCAACAGCCATGATGATATTGACAATAATAACAATAATAACGATGATGATGACAATGATAATTTCAATAACCCCAGAAACTTTTTACAACAAATACCTCGTGACAAGATGAAGCCACCAAGGCAAACGAAAATAAGCATTAAGAATGAACCAGCAACAAATGCCATGATCAAACTCCTACTTACAACAGCAGCACATCTAAATAATGCAGAAGAATATTGTTTGAAAATTAAGAGCAAAAGCCATTGTTTGAATAACCTGCATTCCAAAAAAGACAAATGTTTAGTGCATTGAACTTGAAAGTCAGTGCAAACCAATTGATTGGTTGATTCATTGATTGATTAAGTGGTTGTCTACCTTCCTGCATTTGGATCATAACCAATGACATAGTATGTAGAGAACACCCATAGAGAAACTTCTATACATGATATGGGGAACCCAAGGATCCATATAGGCATAGCATACGCCCATGGAGGATAAAATAAGTGGTCCCTTTGCTTATAAAAAATAGGAAGCCGCAAAATAGTTGGGGCTAACTCTTGTATTGAACTAAACAGGAATATAGAAAGGATGAAAAAGAGGGAGCCCATGTATATCTGTGCACCAATTATTGACTTTCGGTCCATATCAATCCTCAAGAACACTGTTATGGTAACCACTGCCAAAAAGGCTGCCTAAAAGTAATTTAAAAAAGTAGTTGTTAAACAAAAAAAGTCCAAAGTTGATAAGCGTGTGGATGGGAAAACACAAATTAGCAGGGAAACGCCAAGAAAAATACCGAAGACATTCCAAAAACATAACGACTGTAGTTTCTCTTAATCAACAGAACTTCTCTCGAAAAACAAGATTTCATGAGCTCCATCTTACTAACACCATATCTCTTGGTAGCTAAAGCAGCCGGGTGACTTCTAGCCTTTTGAAATGGGGTAGCAAGCTCATCTCCTAAGTTGCGGCCAATGTGAAAAGACTGAAATGCCTCAGAAAATTCCTTAACTGTTAGAAATCTGTAAGGCCTGCCCTTATTCACCCAATATTGCATTTGACCTTTCCTTGATGTTACCTGAAGTCAAAGAGCATTAGGCTTAGTACATCTGTCTGCAATTTTTCGTCTCTGCCAAAGCCAGTTCACTTGGGAGATGTTTGCCATTGTTGAGTGTCCTACATTGGTTGTCTAGTGGGCTTGAGTCTAGTATACAAATCTCTTCAGCATCATTTTAGGGTGGGGTGAGTTAGACCCTATTTAACATGTATCATATTCTAGTTTGGTTGTGGTTTGTGGGGTTCCTGCACATTTGGTTGTTTGAGGTTTCCCATTTGGTGGTGGGTTTGGGCCTATTTAGCCACCCTTAAGCTGTCCAACATGGCATTGACAGTGGATGGGTGTTTTGTGTGTATCTCATACTGGCTGTCTACTTGGCTTAAGTCTAGTATATAAGTGATCCTTTTGGTGCAAGTAAATGAGTTTTACTAGCTAGGGAAAGTACATCTCTTTTGATCGAGATACATGTTTTGCATATTGGTCTTGTAGTATCCACTATGTGATGAATATGACTAAAAAAATGTCAACTCATGATCGCCTCAAATACTTTTCATGCATGAGGAAGTAACATTTGATGATGACATTAGAATTTTCATCTCATTACTCTTGCTTATGAAGGTTGTGAAGTGTAAAAAATGGAAATTGTGTCGTGAATTGCTGTCATCGTAAACATTGTCACTGTGTTTTGCGAGAACTTATATAGTTAATTAATTGGCACAATACATTTAATGCGACCAACCCCAACTAGTTGGGATTAAGGTGCTCAATATGATGATGATGATGATGATGAAAAGTAGACCACTTCCACCTATTCATTTTCCATCATAGCAAACACTTATCGAGACTGTGTGGAATGTGGTCGAACATCGGTTATACCTATCTTACTTTCCATGAAAGTGAATGATAGTGTGAAGGTGAGAAATCGGATTGTCATAGAATGCGGAATAAATTTCAGTTTGACCACCTGTCCGTGAAAGTACCAAACACTTACTTCTTGCAAGAAGTCAGCGACTCCTTTTCTTTCTGGGCACCTAAATCCCATGCATTCAAAAAAATCAAGCACATAATCACGAGGACCCTGATAAACTATCCGGCCTTCCGATATTAGAATGATATCATCAAATAGATCATAGCACTCTGGTGCAGGCTGCAGAAGAGATATTGCTGCAGTTCCATGGTGAATGTGTACATAATGTTTGATGGATTTTAGAATTTGAAAAGTTGTTGAACTGTCCAAACCGGTTGATATTTCATCCATCAAGAAAACATTTGCTGGTCCAACGAGCATTTCACCTAATGATGCAGTTGGGCTTCTTAGAAAATTTCATCCTTGAATAAAATTATTTTAAAATTACAGAAGAAAAAGATGTCACATACCTATTGTAAGCCGCTTCCGTTCTCCTCCTGACATACCCCTAAGCATTTCACTTCCTACAATTGTATCCTCGCATCCTTCAAGTCCCAGAATCTAATAAACCGATTTAGCAGAAGATATTAAGAAACATTTACAGATATTTAGATATGCTTTAATTAACAAAGGAAGTTATAGATGATACCTTGATGATGTAGTCTACAACTACATTTGCTTCCTCACCATGTGTAGCAGCAGCCTGATAAAGCATTTGATCCAATGATCTTAATGACTAAAGAATCTTTGTCATAGTTTGAGTGTAAAATTCCACATTGGATGCAGATCTCAGTTAAAAAAGAACTTATGAAGACTGATATTATGACAAAGTAGAAGAATACACAGTGAAGGTTAGAGTTGAGCCCAACAAACAATGTCTCGAACTTTATTGGAATTTGTGAAAGCCTCAAAGAGATCAAATGTGGAAAAACTATCATTGTCCAAGGACCAAGGGTATTAAAATATAGCTTGTCCATTTCAGCATGCTAACATATGCACATATTTATACATACATAAATACATTTACACAAACACACATTTGTGTGTGTATGCTTGTGTGTACATACATAACAAAAGCAAGTTACTCCATCCGATAATTTTCATGTTTTTCTTTTGGATTTGTCCCAAAAAAATTATTGTTTCCTTTTAGGGAAGAATTGTGTGGTTGAATTTGTTCATCTCATTTCTAAACAAACCTCAACCACACAACTTCATTTTTATTAATAAGCATCCCAAGTGAAAGCGAAGAGAAAGTTCTGGGACAGAGTATTTGTATAATTACGTAATCAAAAGACTCTTAATTTGGAATGTTAAAAAGTTCTGTTTAGAAGAAAATATCTAAAAGCCAGGGTAACTTTCTTTGCCACCTTCATAAATATATCTATATCCGGATCAGGCATAATATTTGCAGCTTTTTCTCTCCTAGATAGCTCTGCTAACATTTCTGTAACAAAGTAATATAGATCGCCAAAGATGAGTATATTGGCAATATTATAGAATAAGGTTGGACTTTAACAGACAGATGGTTTTATACAGCAAATATCAAACCAAAACTCATGCTAACCATATCTGGAACCAACACCCTGGCATCTTGCAGAGAATGCCAGGGTTTCTCGGGCAGTCATTTCTGGAATATGGAGGTCATGCTGGCTGATGTAAGCAGCAGTTCTCATGGGTACAAATTCATTCATTTCATGTCCATTGTACGAGACTCTACCAGAAGCCTAACAATTAGATAAAAGGTCTTAATAACAATAATAAAGGAAAAAATTAAAAAATGGATTATTGAAGAAATGACATAGATAGATCAAGTTGTTTTTACTTCAAAACTAGGGTCAAGCTTCCCTGCCAATGCCAGCAGAAGAGTGGTTTTCCCAGAACTCGGAGGCCCTAAGAGCAAAGTCATTCTGAAAGGCATCCAAGAAGCAAATAAATTATTCTTACCAGCTCAAGTCTGCAGAAATATAACCAGAGAAACTCGACGATAATATTCAACCTGCACTAATACCTGCCAGGCTTTATGATTCCACTAACATCATGAAGAACAGAGATGTGCTTTTTGTTTGTTGGAAGATTGAGATAGCTCAGTAGCCCCTGTTCAAAGGGACAGAAAAGGTAAAATGCAAGACAGAAGGCAACCCTCTTTTTCCTACAAATCTATCAACATGGATTACCTCAAGAATGTTTAAGGAAAGGTTAGTGATCGAAGGCAAAGCTCTTTTTCCCACATAAATCTCAGCACCCACATTTAAATGCTCAAATCTGACCTCAACTGTGGGAATCTCAATAGCTACCCTGGTGAATCGAAATCATAAGATTATTTATGTGTCCATACGGACATTATTTGAACACCAAAGGCAGAGGGAACATAAAAATTATCACACACTCTTTCATGGAAGGGATGTGAGGGTGACATACCTGTCAAACCGATCCTTAAGTTTCAACAAGAACTTCTCATTATCTCTGTTGGGGACTTTTATTAACCTCTCAACAATTTTTTTCTTTTCTTCATACCCAATGTTCTTTATATCAACTTCACATGTCTCTCCCCTTAACCCAGTCACCAATCCCTTCTTTAGTCGATCAAAGGTTGGAGCTTTCTGGAGTGCAGCCCAGTATAGTGCTCTCTCTTCATCTTCCTGTCGTGATGACTTCACAAAAGCATCCATTCCGCCGGCCCTCCATAAGGATGAACTGCTTATTCTAAAGCTTCCACTGCTCTTATGGGAATCATTAATTTCCATTAGAACTAAAAGACAGAATATGTATGCCAAAGCAAAAGACTTAGAAACAAACCAGAAGCAGCAGGGTTGAGAAAAGGGTCCCTTTAATAGCAACTGACCTTCTAGAATTTGCCGAACTTGTTCTTCATACTGCAAGCTGTTCTTTTCACATTAGTCGAGAGTGAGGCGCATTCATTGCGCGCAGAAGGACTTCACCGAAATTCATGCATGGTGTCAGGATTATCATCTTCCTCGCATGAAAGAAAGTACTTCCCATACCTTCAAATTCTCATAAATGAGTTATTTTACCATAAAAGAACTGAATATCTGAATGCAAAAATGGTTGCGCAACTTCAATTCTTGCATCAAACTGACGGGAAGATTCAGTGGCATATTATCGAACACCTGGTGCGCACTTCCTGCTTTGGAGTTTCTGCACATGATGCATTCAAAGCCATGATCGCACCTCCCTGCATTGGAATATTTTGCCTTTATTTTTAGTTTCTCTGAAGTTATTTATCCGCTTCTTTTTTTTCGAAGCCATTAATATGGTTGTTCATAACTTCTTAATGAGTGGCGGCAATTTTGATTTCCTGACCGTCAAGGGTAACCAATTAGGATTTAGGAAAAGACCAATTAGGATTTAGGAAAAGGACCATGCAACACTTACACCAAAAATTGTATCTCATTTGTACACCGCAGTTATACACAAACATTTTGATGGTTTACACCGACACAAGTATTGGTGTGTTAACAAAAATTTACACGGAGACAAAGTGTTGATGCATTAACAAAAATTAGTTTTACACCAACACAAAATATCGGTGCAAACCTGCGGTATACAAATGGAGTACAAAAGTTTGGGGTACAAATAGTTTTATCCTTTAGGAAAAAGCTCCTGGAGCAAAATGTTAGGAGTATTATGGATCAAAGTACACGTCATCTTAGGTAAACTTTTTATGGGCGTGGTAAATTGTTAACTCGTTGTTCTCTATAATTATATTATGAAAAATAATATATGTGTACATGATATTATTCATCTTCGTTTGAAAATAACACTTGGACAGACATCTAGAATGTGTCACTTACTCTTCAATACCCCAAAGGCTCAAAACCTCTCTCTGTCATGTCAACTTTAGTTTACATCATAATTTCACTAGAAATAGGTTTGAAGTCTCGAAGCTTCAAATCTCTATTTTTTACATTTTTGAATACACATTTTCTAAAATTAAATTAATAAGATTTCACTTTTTAATTAAATTTAAACGATAATAATTCATTAAACAAAAAAATACATTTAATAAAAAAGTTACATTAATAGAATAAGATTTGAATGATAACAACATACGTAGTAAATACTACGGGGTAACAAATAAAAAAATTACATTACATTACAAAGAAATTACTGATTATTCGAGCAATTAAAAATATCTTCAATCAAATCCGTTGTTAGTGCATTGTAAATATCTCGGCATCGAATTTCTTAGCGGTTTCTTCGTTTCTTTTTTTCATCGATTTCTTTGTAGGTAGACATCTCCTCATCCGGGTTGTAATGGCAAATTGTAAACTCATTATCCTCTATGATCATATTATGAAAAATAATGCATGTGTGCATGATATTTCTCATTTTCGTTTGAGAATAACACTTGGACGGACATCTAGAATGTGTCACTTACTCTTCAACACCCCAAAGACTCGTTCAATATCTTTTCTCACCTCCTAGTGAGCTTTTTTGTAGGTCTGGTGTTTAAGACCCATTGGCTCTGTAACACCCTAATCCGTCCAGGTCTGCAGCCCTTTTTGGATTAAAGTATTAACTTGGTAATCGTGAAAATTTAAAACTTTTCAAACACTTTTATTTATCACAATAATATTTTTCATAACATATACAGTACGGAGTATTCGACAATATTGCGGAAGCGAATTTAATATTGACATTTCATAATTCATTTCAAAACTTATCACATCTATCCCGACAATCTCGCCTCATCTGCCACCAGGATCACATTGTTCTTTCTGTTTACCTACGTGTAGCAAATAAAACACACTACACGCTCAACGGTAAAGCTGAGTAAGCATATCTAATGCGTCAAACATCTATATAAACTGAATCTAAATTCATAATCAAATCATTTGATATCATGCACAAAATATTCATTTCAGACATTCACAGTTTTGATATTGTTCAGTTCATATCAACACATATTATTCAATTCAGATGTTATTTCGACAATGCTCTTAAATTATTCTTAATCTAAGGCCAAACAATAACAATGCTCTTAGTTATTCTTAGTCTAAAGCCAGATCATAAATTCATTTTCAGACACTTAAACTATAATTAGTTTAAGGCAACATTTCTCCGACGCTTAAACCATGATCAGTTTAAGGCAATAGTTCTCCGATGCTTAAACCATAATCTGTTCAAGGCAACAGTTCTCTGACGCTCAAAGCCTCAAACCATAATCAGTTTAAGGCAACAACAATACAGTAGTTAATCATCATTGAGTCAAAGTATCTCTAAACGAGTGATTCTCTAGTTTGGTCTACGAATTCCGTTATTACATTTTTATCCAATCACCAAATATTCATGTCTCACAAATCCATACTAATATGAGATCTATTCTAGAGGTCTTCTAGATAGTCTTAACATTAATTATTCAAATTGGTAAATCTTAGAGTTCTTCTAGATACCTTTTTAACAATACATGTCATTTCATAATTATCAAAGTATTCATTTTACTCATGGTTCATTCATCCATAATCATTTTAATCAGTAGGCTCATTGTTCAGAATCATCCATAATAATTATTTATCATAATCATCAGTCAACATAACATTTGATAACAAACAGCGGCCTACTCTCGAGTGTTAACACTCGAACTTACCGTCATGCATCACATAATATTTTATATGCCAAAAACATCATTTTTATTGTACAAACTCATATTTATATTGTTCATAATTAATTGGTATAAAAAATAGGATTTTAGAGCATATTTTCAAGGCAGGATCTGGAATTGAGGAAAATAATTTAAAATAATCAATTAATTTGTAAAAATCAATTTAAATAATCAATTAATTCATAAAAATTGATTTTTACAATATAAGTAATCAATTAATTCATAATAATTGATTTTTACAAATTAAATAATCAATTAATTCGTAATAATTGATTTTTACAATTTAAATAATCATTTAATTCATAATAATCGATTTTTATAATATAAATAATCAATTAATCCATAAAAATCGATTTTTACAATTTAAATAATCAATTAATTCATAATAATCGATTTTTACAATTTAATTAATCAATTAATTCATAATAATCGATTTTTACAATTTAAATAATCGATTATTTATATATTTTGATTAACTGGTACTTGACTTCGAAACGATGATCTGAATAAAGTTCTAATCGATTCTTAGTAAAGAAATAATCGATTTTCGGCTACTGTTCATCATCTTCTTCCTCTGGTCAGTTTTGAGTATTATCATTTTTAATCACCAAACTTCAATTAAATTATATAGAAATGTTCTATAATGTTCACAAATTATTTTAGAGTCATAAGTTTGTAGTTTTAATATTAAATTCAAGGTTTATGATTCTTAGTTCTTCAAGCATGTCAAACACAAAGTTCAATCAAACGAACGTTTATGAACGTAGAAACGATCTATACCAACATTCTAGTCACTAGATATATCTACGAGCTTACCTCGAAGCTTATCAAAGGTTTTGAGAATTTTGCGGCGAAACTTCCGGCGATGATTACTCCCAACTCCGGCGACTTCGGCGGCAACCAACAACACCAGACTGCTCTCCTCACTCTTATGAACACAATGGTATAAATTTTCGGAAGATTGGTGCAGAATTGGTAAGGATTGAGTATCCTTATATAGGAGAAGAGAAGAGGAAGAGGACAGTTCTGAGTCATTGTTGCGTCCCTGAATCGCGTAGTGGAGGTGTCTGCGCCGATCGAATATTCCCAAGACATTTCCCTGATTGGGACTAATTTAGGTCCTAGTCGGGGTATACTTTTTTGTCCAACTTTCTCCGAATTGAATTCTGTTTGCACCGTTGCGATCAGAAAGTCGAATTCTATTCAACGATATAACTTTTATATTTATTTGTAATACTTTTTCTGATATCATATTTTTAGGTGTTTGACTTTGACATAGTCAAAATTCATTTAGTCGACCTTTATTCAAAAAGGTTCTCACATTTAATTCATATCAATTATTCTCATGATTTATTTTAATAAATCATTTTAAAAGTTCACATTATAAATAATTTCTTCATTTATTCTTGATTTGGGTCTCTACTCAGGTTTCCAATCAAGACCACACAAATAGTCAACAAATTGGGTTTATTTCTATGAGATTTATCCTGATTGTGATATTGGATATGAAATTAAAGCACATTTTATTTCGGCCCAAAGCCCAATAACAATTTATTTTAATCAAAACAAATTTGATTAATCGAATAATTATTCATTAATAATTCTAGGGTATGTTTTGGGGCGTTACAGGCTCAGAGATGGACTTGACAATTGTGGAATAATCTGGATATATTCCATCAGTAAGATAATATGCACGTTTGTAAAGTGTCCCTCTAAGCTCAAAAGATGAGTCGGGTACAGTCTCATTAATTCAATCGTCAAAACCAGGCGATTGATCAACAATATTGACGTCGTTGTTCGTGCCCGCAATACCAAAAAAAGCATCTCAAAACCATATGTCATTGGAAGCCACAGCTTCGAGCATGATTGTACGCTTGAGATGATCACCCCGGGAGAACTGACCATGTCACACAGTGAGAGTACTAGGGATGTTCATCGGTCTAAGACCGGACCGGACCGACCCGGACCGGACCGAAGACCGAAATGAGTAAATTCAAGGACCAAGGATCAGACCTAAATCCATTCGGGTTTGGACCGGACCGGACCGAAATATTTAGGGCCGAACCGGTCCGGACCGATTGGACTGAAATAAATACTCCGTATATTTTAGACTTTTTACTTTGTACCATTCAAATAAAAAATGAATAAAAAATAGGCAACCTTAAAATGGATACACAATATGAACTACTTCAATGTAGAACCATAAAACAAATATGAACATTTTGTTTAGATTTTTTTTAAATTACTTAATAAAAAACCTTTTTAATTAAATAAATTAAAATATCTATTAAAATAGAGCATCAAAGTGTAATAATAAAGAACTTAAAAAGTGGAGTTTCAGTATTTAGGTCTTTTAGGTCCAGTAGGGTCATTAGGTCCAATCGGTCCGGACCTAAATAATTTCAGGTTTGGACCGGACCGGACCGAAACCCGAATGCCTAAATTTTCTGGACCGAAGACCGACCCGAAATCCATTCGGTCCGGGTTCGGTCTGGACCTAACGGTCCGGTTCGGTCGGTTTTTTTGGTCCGGACCTAAATGTGAACAACCCTAAGTGAGACAATTTTTCAATTCCTAATGCATGCAATCAATGCTCTCAAGTCCCAAACATACCGACAAAGCCGTGTTTAGCGGCATGGCTAGCCTGTAACTGCTCAATGTCGCTCGCTATCGGCTTCTGTAAATACCTTTTGTTATAAAGTTGAATAATAACTTTAGAAAATTTACAAACAAATGACCTAATGCTGGTGGATGGTGGGCGAGTGTGGACGAGAGGCGGGGTGGGTGTGAAATTGAATGTATTTGCTTGAATTCAAGTTTTTTATGACCTTTGAGAGTGTTTCTCTGTGCTAGTGCTAATTGATTTATTGATGACATAAAATTTTTAACTTATAAGCTACCTATAAGCATAGTTTTGAAAGGCAAGCGCCTCCCTCACTTAAGGCGCCACAGGCGTCCGAGCAACTTTATACCGCCTGTACAGACGAGTATATGGTAATTACTCTAATTGGTTTGTTTAACGAGTAATGCTAGAATCACAAACAAAACACTCACAAAATGCACAAACTTACCATTTGTGTATTTTAGTTTTTATTTTTTAATTATTTGAGACCATTATTTGAATCCATTACTTTACATATTCGGCAAGTTTGTGAGTTTGTGAATGTTTTATTTGCGACTCTAGCATTACTTTTGTTTAACATGTATGACTTGCTTGGGATTAACATTATTAATTGCATTGCACTATACGGAGTACTCCCTCCGTCCCGTTTTAAATCGTCTGTTTTGACTTTTGGGCATATTTAAGGAAAAGAAAAAATAGAATTGATTTTTCGAAATTGTCATTACTTTTTAGAAGGGGTGACTATGAATTACTCCGTAGAAGATAAGGTGAAGAAGGGTGACTTATTTTAGGGGTAGTTTAGGTATTTTATTTTTAAAATTTTACGATAACAACTAACAGACAACTTATTTTAAGACGGAGAAAAAAGGCAAACAGATAATTTAAATTGGGACATATGGAGTATATTTTATGAATGTGTATGCCCCAAGTTCACCTTTTGGCCACCCACCTTTCGTCCTAAAAAGGTCCTCTCGCCTGCCTCTCGCCTTTCAAAATTATACTCATAAGTTAAATATTCTTCTGTGAAAGTAAGATGACTTAAATGATAGATAAATTATTTTGGAAGATTAATGAAAGGTGAAGGATTGTTTATAAATACTCTAGTCAAAACGGAAAAAACAAAAAAAATAGCTGAAAAATATGTATGGAAGACTCACCTGTGTTTTCTAGCGTACGAGCTGCTTATAAACACAAAAAGGACACATGTCATTAGCTGACTTATAAGGTAAAAACATCTCATAAACACAGAGAAATGCCAACTTTGCCTCTAAATCTTTACGTAACAATTCCTATAATATCATTATAAAACATTCAGTGAAACTAAAATGCATTAGTTACAATAAATTTCTTTGCTGGTCATGGTTTTGCACTTTTGCATATATGCTATGCTGTGTAGTGCAAATGATTCACAGTTCTATCCAAATTTATAAAGAATAAACAATGGAGTATAAATGCATTTCCAAATTCTAACAATGCCAAAGCGTCTGAGTTTTAACAGTTTTTTCATATGGGCATTTAGCATTTTATTTGGACCTGACTGATATCCCTTTATTCAAGCTGCTTGTATTGTGATCATCTCTTTTGGAAATTGAACATCTTCATGGAGAAAGCAAACATTGTTGCAAAGAGAAGAACGAAACCGGTCAGTATAGCTGCAGTTTCTCCAACAAAGTCGCGCCGAAACCCAAAAAAATGTCTCAAGAAGTTCTCCACCGTGTCGAACGTCTCCAAAACATCCTGGAAATCCCCAAACTGTGATGCCACCAGCCCGTATAGCGTCCATCCGACAGGTGACAGCCGAAAATACCATCTCCACCACACTGGAGCCATCTGTCATGGCAGAAAACATGATGACTAATTAACAATGCAAGAAGATTGATTCAACACTTCAACCTAATTGGAGGATTGCGACAAAAACAAACCCAGTATAGTCACACAATCATCAGATTGGGACAATCTTCATGGAAAGAGAAGTAGAAGAGAAAAATGGATTGGGCTTACGGGTCGGGGAATCAAGAATCCGGAGAAGAGGTTCCATATTCCGAATGATCCGGTTGCCAAGATGGATGCAATTTGCAGGTTTGGTGTCATGGCCACTGACATCATGCCGAGGAAAGTGGCGTACAAGAATGTTAAGAACATGATGAGAAGGTACCACAAAAACTTCCTAACTGTCCATTCAAATCCAATCATTGAGTAGACCGTGGCACCGTATATGACTGCTTGTATCAAAATATATGGGAGCTCAACCACAATCTGCAATACAAATTTGGAAGCGGTTAAGATTGCTCATGGGAAAATGACTTAACAGAACAGTGATTTTTTAAAGAAACCCGAACTATAGCCGCTACATTGCTACAACCCTAGAGTCAAGCCATGTCAGACTTCATGATAGTTAAGCCCACATAAACCCTTCATTTTTAAAGCCCCTTAATACACCCTTCCCCTTGCTTCCGCTGGGGATCAAATCCAGGTGAGCAGCTCTAAAACCCCCATGTTGACTTCACTTGACCAAAGGGGCTTGCTCAAAGCCTTACTCGCAGTGATATCGAACCTGGCTAGTGCGAGAGGTTGTTAAAGCATCCCACATCAGAACCTTACTCACATATCATCGACCCACCATTTGAGATATAGGATGAACTTCCTAAGTCCTAACCTTACTGGTGGATTCTAAGGTTGAGAATCATGCTCCATGAATCTTACTCCCTTTGTCCCAAAATGAAGTTTATACTTTGACGTCACGAAATTTAAGAGAAGTGTTGAAAAGTGAAAGGTGTCTCGTTAAAATTTATCCAGAAGAAAAAGAAATTACAAGAGCCGTATATTAATTTCCTAAAAGGGGAGGTGGAAAAGTGTAAGTTCATGTTGGGACATTCAGAAAAGAAAAGTGTGAACTTTATTTTGAGAGGGAGGGAGTATATGTTGGGTTTATTTACAATTCATATTTAAACTGGTATCAAAAGCTTAGAGCGGGCCAGCGCCCAAGGCTCCCACTAGGTGAGGACTAGGGAGGGTGGATGCACGCAGCTTTACCCCAGCTTTCAAAGAGATACTGTTTCGAAGATTCAAACAGGTGGTATCCGTGTCACAAAGGGCCAACATTACCACTACGCCAAGGCTCACCCTCTAAAATTGTATCGGAAGTAGTCCATTGAATTATCCCACATTGGGAATTCACTCATCGTATGGTAAATTCACAATACAAGAGAGGGACTTCCTAAAATGTAAGCAGTATTTTAAAAGGAGATTCTAATACAGAAGGGGTATACACATTCAAAAGTGAAGGGAATATTTACCATTGCAAAGGAAAACGGCAAGGCAGAATACATCCCTGCAGCTCTTTCTCTGTAACACACTGTTCGTTCTACTGCAACTGCTTGCTGAACAATGAATGCATTTAGTGTCCCAATAAACAGAACAGCTGCATACATGGAACCCATGGCATTGAACAAATCTTGTGCCTTACTCCTGGGAATCAAAGTGTTGGTAAACGACGTGTCACTGAGGGTCCGTTTGGAACCCGGAAAATACAAGGGAACAAAGTAGGGATGAAAACTGGGAAGAAAGATCATTCCGGAAAATAAAAAAGAGACTCAAACTTAACAAATTTGTTTAAGAGATGTAATAAAACTCATTTTATTTATTCATATTATATAAACACTAAAAAAATCTATATACATGTATTTAAAAACAGACAATTCATATTATTCATTTGTCTTTTCCTTGATAAAACCAGGCATGGAAAACAAATTTCCACGCCATTTTCCCCCTTTCCCTAGGGGTATGGCCGCATGGGTTTGAATAACAAAAAATGCTAAAAGTCAGATTTGTATTATGAAAAAGGGAAATTATAGAAATGCAACCCCCACTTGACCATCACCCCGAGGAGGTCGGAGTGGACCTAGACGGGGGCAATGAGGGGCTGCAGTGCTGCACCACCACCCCCATTTTTGGGGGGTAGTGATAATTAACCCAAATTCTTTACTAAGTAGGTAAAAATACATTGCCGGGGCATCTCAGTGGATTATGAACACAAGATACAAACTTGAATATTAATTTACCTTCTCCCACCAAGATCCCAGAACATTGTCCCAAACATCAATGCAATAACAATCGTGAAAAAGGCCCTTAGTGCAGTGTACGATGTGTTATGCCAGTAGGACCATCGTTGTTTATATAGGCATGCTACGAATTGAGTCCAGAAGGATTGTGAGTATTTTGTTGAAAATTTTAGATCCCTAGAACCGGGAGGAGGTGTGCTCAGTTCTTTTATCAAAGCCATGTTTATCCTGCAAAACCTCTCACGTGTTAGGGAAAATCTTTACTGCTCATATCCTCTGTTAAGTAACAATAAACCCAAACCTGTAGAGTCCAGTTAAAACCCAGAAAATGCTATGAAAAAAATGAGGAAGATGGGGTGAAAATTCAGAGAGGTAGAAAATTTAAAGAAACCTAAAAAATGGATTCAAACTCGACAAATCAATTTTAAATATTTTTTTCAAACTCATTGTATTTATATTTTTCTACTATATAAAGACTAGACATATAAAATAATGTAAGAAGTTTTATTTCAAATTTGCCTTCATATCTTTTGAAGTTAAAACCAGGCATAAAATAATAATCCTCTCCTTACCCTACCATTTTCCGCATTCAAAACATGACTTAATCAAGCCATAAAAGGGTGAAATGAAAGTTACTTCCCAAATCCCTCTTGTCTTCAAATAACCAATCATTAAGAAAAGATTGTGGTTCTTAAGGTGATGACTAATTTTTTCATAACTTAACAAACAAACCTTGTTGAACGCAGAAAGGGGTAGGGAGGGGGGAGGGGGGATGCTGAGAGATTTTTTGCTTGATTTTAACTTCAAAAAATCCCTAATAAAAAAAAATCTTACATTATTTAATAGATACACTAAGTTTGAACAAATATTTAAAACTTATTTATTGAAAAATTAAATATCTAAAACTTCTTAAAACATCCCTTTCTGATTTATAAGTATTAAAATAACAAGCGAATGCGTAATAAATATGTGAATGCAGCTTAGTTATGTATTTAGTTAACGGGAACTCTTTTAAGAATGGCATAATAAATTAATAATACATGTTGAATTAAAGTATGTGCAACTTACTGCCATAAAAAAAGTGCAACTTACTGGTACAATTCAGATTTTCTGTAGATCTCATTGAAATTAATACCGAGAGCCTCTTCTTTTTCTCGTGTTGTATTCTCCAGCACCCATGTGGCAGGATTGTAGCCATTTTTTATTTTTTCTATGCCTTCAATATTCTGGATGAATAAGAAAATGTAGAAGGAATCAAAACAAAAGTTCTCCATATGAATAAGCTCTTAAGCTGATATTTCTTTACTAAAAACAAAACAAAAGTGAAAGGGAACTTACCTCAAAGTAATTTATTAAATGGAAAGAATGATGTCCTAGTGGGCCAAGATAAATTTCTTGTCCTCCTAGTGTCATTAGGAGCAACTGCATCAATCAATTACTAAAGTTTTACTATGTATAGATTGTATGAAGAAAAAGCAAGTTGAGAAGGTTTCTCCATTCATCACAAATAACAACAACAACAATAACAAAATTTGATCGAAGGTTTGGCACGGTACAACTTTTAAAAAGTCATCATTAAATCCTGCTAAAACGTTACTATTGGTCGTTCTTTTAAGTTACAAAAGTGACCAAATTACATAAATCAAGTAGCAATCATTTATTGAGGTACTAAACATACTATGTTATTCCAATTTCACCCATTTTATTTTGCCTCGTAAGTGAGTAAGAAAATAACCATGAGCCTTGTATTTAAAATTGGAAAACATTGGGATAAATACTCCCTTCGCTCCATGAAAAGAGTCATATTTCTCAAATTGTTTGAAAATTCAAGTAGGTTTAGTGCGTTCAGAGAGTTGCTCCTTAACATTTTTCTTTTACAATACCTTACCAAAATTTAAAAGTTGTACATTCATCAAAGTGGACTCTTTTAATGAGACGGAGGGAATACTAAATATTTTTAGAAGGTATGACTTATAAAAAGGAGTTGGTCCTTATTTTGGATAGTTACATGAAAAATTAACTTTGTTTTTGTCAAATAGGATGTATTTGAGACAAAAAAAACTTTTAATATTAAAATAATTATTAGTATTGTTATTATTATTGCTGTTGTTCTTGTTATTATTGTAATTACAATTATTATTAGTATTATACTTCATATTGTTCTAGATGGGTGAGTGTGTGGGGGGGAGGGGGTAATTACCTCATCAAAAGCTTCAAATATGTCAATGCTTGGCTGGTGGATTGTGCAAACAATTGTTCTACCAGTGTCAACAATATTCCGAACTGTCCTCATTACTATTGCAGCAGCCCTTGCATCAAGACCAGATGTTGGCTCGTCCATAAATATTAGTGAAGGATTAGCCACCAATTCAACTGCTATGGTCAGCCTTTTACGTTGCCCAGTTGATAGACCATTCACCCCGGGTAAACCAACCAATGCATCTTTCAAAGAGTCAAGCTCAACTAATTGCATGACTTCCTTGATGAACAACTATAAACATTTACAACGGAAGGAAATAACATGAATGTGGTTTCACTATTTTGGTCCCTAATTTATGCAATGCAGTCCTCGCTATCAATTTCACGCTATTCATTCCCTCAATTATTTAAAAAGTTGTTGATTGAATCCCTCACATCGTAGCTAAGGAGTCATTCAAGTGATTCAACTTCGTACCCTTTTTCAGTTTCAGATAAGCATGTTGTGCATCCTTTTCTTTTTTTCTTCTCAATACTAATGTTACCATTAGAGAGTGAGGGGCTTAGTAGTACCAAATCGACTTACATTGCATAATAAAAACAATTGAGGGACTGGAATAGATATTTTCCCTTTAAGGAACAGCTATCATCCTTAAACAGTCCTATCACATGGTTACACAACCCTTGAAAAAGATACTCCATTAGCGTACGGTAAAATGGGCCAATGACCATTTCATAAGGTGAGGGTAACCTATGTGGTAGCATTTTTTTCATTAGTTAAATACATAGGAAAGAAACACTAATGAAATCTCAATTGTATTTTTGGACCCTAGAAAATGCTAGGAAAAATAAACAAAACCAAAGAAAAGTTATTTTCTTACGTTTGTTATATTACCTTGGAGAATGCAAAGAAAATTACTTGTTTAAAAATTTTATATATATTTAAATTTCATAGTATTATATAATAGAAATAAATAAATAAAATGAGTTTGAACATAATCTGAGCTAATTTTATAATGTTTGAGCTGATCTTTATTTTTCTTCCAAATCTTATTTCATTCCAGTATTCTTTTCTATTTTCCTTGCCCTGGTTTACAAGTTCCAAAAGGACCCCTAGTGACCTGACTAAAATAAGAAGTCAAAGAAGCTATTCTAACTTCAACAATTCCCAGCACTCGCATGTCATAATATTTTATACTCACATTTCTAGCTTCTGAAGTGATTCCTGATGGTAAGCGGAGCCAAGCTGAAAAGGTCAAGGACTCGTATACTGTAAGGTGAGGAGAGTGGATGTCGTTTTGCTCGCAGTATCCAGAAATGCGGGCAAATGTTTCCTGCTTCTTTGGAAAGCCAGATAATCTAATGTCCCCTTCAATATACCCACCAGTTTTCCTACCAGCAAGGACATCCATCAGTGTGGTTTTACCTGCACCACTAACGCCCATGAGAGCTGTCAGAACACCTGGCCTAAAAGCCCCGCTAACACCTTTCAAAAGCTCAAGACGACCATCCAGGACTCCCTCAATCTTCATCTCCTGCAGATTCAATAAAATTTAAATACAAAATAGCTTAGGGAATGTTTGGATCCCATGATATGCTGCTAGAAAGGAAAACAGATGCTAAGAAAAGTTATGTTCTTATATATGGTTTTAGCTTGAAACTGCAATAAAAATGAAATCAATGTTTTTTTTACAAGTTCACATACATAGCCTTCATATGATAAAACAGAAATAAATAAAATGAGTTTGAACAAATATCTAAAGTGGCTAAACTAATTTTGAGCTTTTCATTTATTTTCTCCCAAATTCTTTCCTCCTCTATGTTTCTCCTATTTTATTTACATAGTATAATCTGAGTTCCAAACAGACCCTTAATATTTTATTTCTTCAACTACAAATAGGGTTGAACAAAAGCTTTAATAACCAGCAGGTAAAGGAAGCAATGTTTTCCATCCCAAATGATAAAAGTCCAGGCCCAGATGGTTACAATAGTGGGTTCTTCAAAAGCCAATGGAAAGTGGTGGGGGAGCTGGTTACAAAACCTGTACTGGACTTCTTCAAAGAAGGAAAAACCCTACAGCAAATAAATGCTACAAGCTTAACACTAATTCCAAAGATCCCTGAGGTAATAAATCCTCGTGAGTATAGACCTATAGCATGCTGCAATACCATCTACAAGGTCATCTCAAAGTTAATATCCCAAAGACTGAAGGAGGTTCTGCCCCACATTATAGATTTGAACCAAGGAGCTTTCGTTAAAGGCAGAGAACTGGTCCACAATGTGTTAATATGCCAGGAGATTGCTAAAGGTTATAAGAGGAAAGGAATATCCCCAAGGTGTATGATGAAGCTTGACATCCAAAAAGCCTATGACTCAATCAGTTGGGGAGCAATAAGAAGCATTTTGTATAATCTTAAGTTCCCAGAACAATTCATCAGATGGGTAATGTTTTGTGTATCTACCCCAAGCTACACACTAAATATTAATGGAAGTCACTATGCATACTTTAAAGGGGCTAGGGGATTAAGACAAGGGGACCCTATGTCTCCATTATTATTTGTGCTAGTTATGGAATACCTTACAAGATCCTTCCAAGCTGCAGTTACTAAGGATAGGTTTGGGTTCCATCCCATGTGTGCTAGCCTGAAGATAGTGAATCTATGCTTCGCAGATGATCTAATTGTAGTGTGTAAAGCTGAGACCAAGGCTGTGAAATGCATAATGAATGTCCTTGAAGAGTTTAAACTAGCTACTGGACTGAGTATTAACTATAGCAAATCTCACATGGTCTTTGGGGGTATTAGTGAGCAGATGAAGGAAGAGTTACTGAAGATTACTAAAATGAAACAGGGAACACTGCCATTCACCTATCTGGGCAGTCCTATTACAGCGGCCAGGTTATCAGCTAGTAATTGTGAAGCCTTGGTACACAAAAATAGGAGCTTGGGGTTCAAGGCATTTCTCATATGCAGCTAGAATAAGAATTATAAACTCAGTGTTTATGGGGATCATTACTTTCTGGTCAAGGATCTTCATACTCCCAAAAGGAGTGATAAAGAAGGTGACATCTATCTGCAGGAACTTTCTCTGGGGCAGTTCCAGTGACTATAAAAGAACCCCTTTGGTGAAATGGGAAGAGGTATGTCAGAAGAGGGATTATGGAGGGCTGGGATTGAAAAACATACACAACTGGAACAGGGCCATAGTCATGAAGTTGAATTGGGACATTGCAAATAAAAAGGATGTATTATGGGTAAAATGGATCCATAATAGATACATTAGAGGGGCTGATTTCTAGAATTATCTGCCAAGAAAGGATTCATGCCAATATTGGAAAGCTATGATCAAAGTAAGAGAGGTATTTAGACCAATGGCAACTAGCAAAGAATACAAAGTGAAGGAGGGGTATGATTGGCTTCAGGCTGAAGGAGCTAAACCACAATGGACGAAGTGGGTGTGGAATAAATTCACACCACCCAAATTTCAGGTGATGATATGGCTGTACATGCGTGGAAAACTGCAGACTAAAGACAGATTGGGGAGATACCTACCTGTGGATATGCGATGTGGATTGTGTGAAGAGGAGAATGAAACGGCCAAGCACCTTTTCTGGGAATGTAAATATGAAAAGTGGGTGCTGCAGCAAGTGTTTGATAGATATAACATCTTGTTCCAAGCTAATAGCCTAGAGGAAATGGAAGATACAATGCTGAAAGGAAAAGGGAGTACTACAAAGCTGAAGATTGCAGCTATATGGGCAGCCTGTCTATATAGTATTTGGAGAGCTAGAAACAGAATAGCTCACCAAAACAGGTGTACGGCAGAGGAGGCAAGAGACTATGTCATTAGCTATATAAATTTCTATTTTATGTATAAGAAAGTAAGGTAGATGATTGTGGTTAGAATTCTGTTGAGTGTGTACTAAACTTTGGAGGTAGTAATGAATTGTGTGCTTTTGGTTCAAAAAAAAATTGAAAAATGTTATTCTTCCCAAAAAAAACTCTAGGCTGCAAGATATGGGTTAGGTGGTGCTCATTTAAGGATTTATTGGGATTACAAAAGTTCTAAGTAGGCCGAAGGACCCGATGGAGATTGGGGATCCGTTTGGAACTTTGAATATGCAAGGGAAAGAAAATAGAGGGGATATTTGGAAAGAGAAGTTTTGGGAAAATAAAAAATTGGTTCATAAGCAAATAATGAATTTTAGATATTTTTTTAAACCCATTTTGTTTATATATTATTCCCTCCGTCCAAAAAAAAAGTTCTAATTTCTTTTCTGGGATGTCCCAAAAAAGACTCTTTTTTCCTTTTATAGAAAACTTGGAGTGGCTCACAAGCTTTCTCTCCTCTGCATCACTTTCAACCACACATTTTCACTTTTCTTGAACTTTGTGCCAAGTCAAACTGGGAGCCTTTTTGGAACGGAGGGAGTACTATTTTGTAAAAAAAAAACATAAGATATATTCCGAATAAATATATGTAAAATTCCAAATCAAACTTCAAAAAGTTCTATAAAAGACTATTTCCATCAGCATTTTTTCTTTTTCCTACCATTTACTGCATAGTGGTGCTAGGCAAGGATTTTTTTCAGTTATGAACAAAATAACACAATATAGGAAGCAACCGTGTCAGTAACATTATTACCTGTGGCATGTCCACAGAATACTTAATTTCATTGAACACAATGGAATGTGGCTCAAATGGAAGGATCATCCCACAAGTTATGTTACCAGTCCCAGTCTTGACCTTAGAGGATCCTCCATTACTTATATCATGCTCATTGGAATGTGATTCTGCTGGGACAATAGCCTGAAGCTGTGCTAGTGCTGCGAAATACGGAGTATATTATATATATTATCAATATTAAGAGCTTGTTTGGTAAAGGTTATTTGACCAAAATGGCAGTATCTAATGAATTTTCTGAGTTGATAAGAATTTGGTAACATTCATTTCAGCCAACTAAGATTCCATTTCTAGACCTGATTTGGCTCGTTCTACTTCTCAGCATCATAATCACATCATTTAATTTGACTTCCTTATTCGGCTTAAATGGATGTTAGCAATGTGTTTTCCTTTCAGAAAATGCAGTAAATTGAACCATTTCACTATTTCAGTCATTTTATTTTGCCAATAGACGGAGTAAACCAAGTATGGCCAACAAATGGAGCCTAATATTAATAATAACTAAGATTATGTTTGTCAAGAGAGGTAGAGATATTATACGTCTTAGCTTTGTCAAAGAAAGAATATAAACGAAGATTGCAACAACTGAGAATCCAAGCAATGCCCCTACTCCAAGCCAGTACCAATGCGCCTCTGGGTAAAGCCCGCGATACTTCAGTACTAGTACACCAAATGGTTCTGATGAAAATGGAAGGACCTTTAATTCATTTAATGTAAAGTGTAAGTTACTCTCATAGAAAAAGACTTGCAAACATACAAGAAAACCAAAGTACATGAATTTAAAAAAAAAACTAATGTTCCACTTGTTTCCAGGAAAATCCTTTTAAGGGAAATTTTCTCCAAATTTTCCTGTGTTTGGAAACAGACAACAGGGAAAATATTTTTCTTGATTATTTGGACTTTGGGGTATGTTTGCGCCCCATGAGTTGCTAAGAAGGGAAAATGCCAAAGAAAATTATTTTCTTATGTTTGGATTAACTTTAGAAAATGAAATATAATTAACTTTAAGAAGTTAAATATTCTTAAATTTCAGTCTTTATATACTACGTACTACAGAGTACATTTTAAAAACAAATAAATAAACAAATATATATATATATATATATATATATATATATAATGAGTTTTGAAAATATCTAAAATAAATGTAGTGAGTTTGAGGGCATCCCCTTCCCCCCTCTCCAATTCTCTTTCCTCCACAATTATCTTTTATATCATCACTCCTAATTTATTTCCCTATTATTTTACATGCATGTTCATATCAGACCCTTGACGAACTAACCTTTTTGCTTGTTTCGCTTGTCAAACATTATATTGCACTTAAAACAATTAAGGAAAACATTTTCGAGGAAATATTTCCAGCAATAAAGCAGTGCCTACAGCCTAAACGTAACTAAAGGAGAAGACAAATTCTCACAGTATTCCAACTTCTTCCAAGGAATTCATTTACGGCGATAGCATTTTGAGCATACATCAATGGTGATATCCAATAACCCCAGAGCCACCATTTCTTCACTTGCTCTGACAAAGCCAATGAATAAACATCCAAAAGAGTGAATAAACAATATTACTCCGTATTTTTTTTTGAAACATTTTAGCAGCAATACCTCGTGACAAGATGAAACCACCCAAGGCAAAGAGCATAAGCATTAGGAATGAACCAACTACAAACGCATTGGTCATACTCCTACCTATTACCCCAGCACATCTAAATAACACAGAGGATAGTTGCCTATAAATTATGAGTAAAACCCATTGTTTGAATAACCTGCATTCATAAAGAGAAATGGTTATTCCATTGAATTTGAGAGCGAGGGAGACATAATTTTTTATCATTCTTGACTAATCTGGAGTGACATTCCTATGTGTCCCGTATTGTGTGGATTTCACCTTTTTGAGTAAAATCCAGTATTTAATACTCTCTTTGTTCACATTAAATATCATTTTAGGTGATTATACATGTAATAAGAAAGCAATAATTTTGACTAGAATACCCATACCCATGTTTTGCAGTACTGTGCAATATTTATGGGCGGAGAAGAGTAGATGTGGAAAATGATCAATTAAGGCTCTCTTGATATTCTAAGTGACAGTTGCGTGTAACAAAAAACAAAATTCTTAAGCAACACTTAAAAGAGCACGGAAGGAGTGTAATTACTATGGTTAATTGTGACATAAGAATATCACTAAAAATATGTCAAAAAAAGTCTCTGGAATTCTTTTTAATTCCGCCATGGTTAGCTACCTTCCAACATCTGGATCATAACCAATGACATAGTATGCAGAGAACACCCAGGCAGAAACTTCTATGAAAGATAATGGTAGCCTCAGGATCCATGTAGGTATAGCATAGGCCCACGCTGGATAGAATAAAAGATCCCTTTGCTTGTAAAAAACTGGAAGACGAAAAATAGTTGGAGCTAACTCCTGTAATGCGCTAAACAGGAAGATGGTAAGAGTCCAGAAGAGGGAGCCCAGGTAAATCTGAGCACCTATTGGTGAGCTTCGGTCCATATTGGTCCTTATGAAAAGCGTCATTGTAATCAGTGCCAAAAGTATCACCTAAAAGAATTGTATCAAATAATTAAAGGAGTTATTATCAACTCAGGGCCCAAAAGATAGGTTAGTTATTCAAGGACCCATAAGAGTGTCAATACTGCAAATGATGATTGAGAGTGTCACAAGAAAACATGAATTTGAACTGGTTTCATTTTTAAGTTAATTTTGAATGAAAAAGACCTTTGCAGGTTATATATTTGATTTAGTAAGAAGTAACTAAAGATAATTAAAATAAACAAGAATCAAAATTCATGAGTTAAAGTCTTGGATTGATAGTTTCAATCATTCAAGTCCAATATTCCTAGTTTTGAATTTTGATCATCCTGGATAGATGCATATCATATCTTTGATGTCCTTAAATTATTCCATAAACCAGCAAGACTTAAAACCATATCAGCATCAATTGGTAATAGCGTTTGTGATAGTGTTAGTGTTTTGGATAATTTTTAATGGTGCAGATTAATGTACAAAACGCTAACGCTAAAAGTTGCCATTGGGTAGCATTTTCAATACGTTGAAGCTAAACTCTGAAGTTAATGCCAAACATAGCCATTCAACTACTCAAGGAAAAACACACAGGACAAGAATAACCCAGAGAAAGTACCCATGTAAACCCAAATATATGAAGAGCACTGTTTCTCTTCATCAGCAGAACTTCTCTGGAAAAGCAAGATTTTAAGAGCTCCATCTTACTAACACCATATCTTTTGGTAGTTAAGGCAGCCGGATGACTTCTAGCCTTTTGAAATGGGGTAGCAAGCTCATCTCCTAAGTTGCGGCCAATGTGAAAAGACTGAAATGCCTCAGAAAATTCCTTGACTGTTACAAATCTGTAAGGCTTGTCCTTATGCACCCAATACTGCATTTGATCTTTCCTTGATGTTACCTGAAGTCAAAGCGCATTAGGCTCAGTGCAGTTGTTTCAGTTATTTTAGTTTCACATTAATTTACAAAACATTTACGTCATTGTGCTCACTGAATTGGCTCATAATGAAAACAAAAGGTAATGAACAAGCTACTTTTTGGGTTGAAATGGCTGATTCAGCTTAATTGGCTATTTTTAGATTCATTTATTTATACAAAATACTAACACTTTTTTAAACAACTAAGCTAATTCAGCTTTTTGAGCCACAATGTCATCAGATTCAGCCATCTTGGACACTCTAAGCCTTACGGTACAGGCTCAATATCAGACAAAGCTGTTTTCACTTACTTCTTGCAAGAAGTCAGCTACTCCTTTTCTTTCTGGACATCTGAAGCCCATGGATTCAAAAAAATCAAGCACGTTGTCACGTGGACCATGATAAACGATCTGGCCTTCGGATATGAGAATTATATCGTCAAACAGATCATAACATTCTGGTGCTGGCTGAAGAAGAGAAATCACAGCAGTGCCACAAAGAGTGTGTACATAGTGTTTGATGGATTTTATGATTTGGAATGTGGTTGAACTGTCTAAACCAGTTGACACTTCATCAATCAACAAAACATTTGCCGGTCCTACAAGCATTTCGCCTATAATTTGTTCATTGGGCTTGTTAGAATTCCTCAGCATTGGATAAAAATAATGTAAAATGAGTTTAAATGCAATTTATCTCTTTGACTATACAGTATACACTATAGTTCAATTTGGTAATCGAGTACGGAATATGAACCTAATATAGTCTTCATATATATTTGGTTCTAAATAAGAAAGGAATTTATGTCTGTTCACTAGAACTAGGCTTAATTTGAGATTCAAATTGGCCCATGGCCCCAACACCCCATTTAATCCTTAGCGTAGGATATCTACTTCTTATGGTAGAGAATAATATGTATAATGACTAAATTGAGTCTAAATTACATAGCCAATTATCAAACTGAATTTTTTTATTCTATAAAGAAGATCAAATAGAGTCCAAAAGAAAGCCCGTGACCAAATTGAGTAATACTGTATAATCGAGGGATCAAATTCAAATACAAATTAAACTAGGAAAATAGTTTGCACACCTGCAGTAAGCCGCTTTCTCTCTCCCCCTGACATACCCCTTAACAATTCATTTCCAACGATTGTATCCTCACATCCTTCAAGTCCCAAAATCTAAGAACCCAAATTAGTACTGTTTAAGATAATTAAGGAGTTTATAGACATGAATTAATTAACAAATAGAAATACGGTAGCTACCTTGATGATGTAGTCTACAACCACATTTGCTTCTTGACCATCAGTTGCAGCAGCCTGAAGCAAAGACACCAAAAAAAATTAAGCTATGTTTGGAATGCAGAAAATGTTAAGACCGGAAAAAAAAGATATGGAAAATAATTGTTTGTTTGGTGTGAACTTGGAAAATACAAATGAAAATAAAACCTGATTAAAACTTTTTAAAAATATGCTCCTATATAGATTTCTTAATCTTTACATAGTAGAAACATATAAATAAAGCGAGTTTGATCAACTATCTAAAATTGATCTATTGAGTTTGAAGCAGTTTTTGTTATTTCTCACATTTTTATTACTTCCAAATCACCTCTATTTTTTGCACTATTCCCTAGCTCTGCGCAGACCCTTAATGACTAGATAAATCTTGTCACGTGTCCATAAAAATAACACACTAGACAAGGCACCGTGGATGTAGAATAATATTAACAAGTACAGAGTATATGAAATGCTCTATAAACAACTTATTAGAACTTATCCTAGATGAAGAAAAGTTGTTGGATTTCATTACATCATCGATGCATCCAAGGGTCTTAGGGAAAAAGTATTACAGGAGCAATGTTGCATACATCATGACCACCTAAGCCGGATAATCCTAGGTTTGTTGTATTTTTATTTTTTGTTTGGGTATGTGCCTATGTTGGTGGGGGAATAACAAAAAAATGATGTATTTACACATCTAATAAAGAATTAAAAGAAATAAAGATAACAAAATAAAGAATTAAGGTAACTTTCTTTGCCACCTTCATAAAAATGTCCAAATCAGGATCAGGCATAATATTTGCCGCTTTCTCTCTTCTAGATAACTCTGCTAAAATTTCTGTACCAAAGCAGTGTAGAGCACCAAAGATAAGTGTGGGCAATATTATAGAAATATAGAATATGGTTAATCTTTAAGGGTTTGTTTGGATTTCAGAAAATGCTAAGTGAAAGGGGGAAATTCCAAAGAAAATTTACCCTTTGCTCCTTTTTAGGAATGTTTACTTTATTTCCGTAATATATAAAGTTGATAACATGTGTGAGTACACCACACCAACACCTCCCTCGAAAAAAAGATTGATCCAAGTCAACAGTAGTAAATCTTTGATTCCAAATTTGAGCTGGTTTGATTTTTCATTCATCAAGAAGAACACCCTTTCTCACCCAACATTCTTCATTTGTGACTCTGCTCGAAGACCCCTTGAGCCACATTCAACACTTAAGGTCCGTTTGGGAAGAGGGAAAATGACTTCCGGAAGTCATTTTCTCATTTTTCCGGTGTTTGGTTGCTCGAGAAAATTGGAGTAAAAGATAAATGATTTCCAAATTCCGTAGAAATTGAGCCTTATTTGGAGTCAACATAAAGTTTAGTTTTACATTGGAAACGGCAGAGAAAAAAGCAATATGATTTAACTTTTAACTTTTTTTACATGTCTGTTTATAATAAAACTAATACTCCTAAAATAAGATGGGTTTGACAAATATTATACTTTGGTGTGTGTGTGTGTGTGGAGAGAGAGAGAGAGTTTGAACCACTGATTTATCTTCCCCATATAAATTGTATTTCTTTATTAAAAAAATCCCTATACTTTCCTCCATATTTGCTTTCACTGGCACATTCCGCAATCCAAACAGGTCCTTAAAAAGAACAAATCACAAGCAATACAAAACAGCAACTCATGCTAACCGTGTCTGGAGCCAACGCCTTGGCATCTTGCAGAAAATGCTAAGGTTTCTCGGGCAGTCATTTCTGGAATATGGACGTCATGCTGGCTGATGTAGGCAGCGGTTCTCATGGGAACAAATTCATTCATTTCATGCCCATTGTAAGAGACTCTTCCAGAAAACTTCAATCAAAATTAAAGAATGTATTTTTGTTAATAGGTAGTAATCCAGAATTTTGCAGGGAACACGATAAAAATAAGTAGCAATGTGCTAGTTGTTTTTACTTCCAAACCAGGATCAAGTTGCCCTGCCAATGCCAACAACAGAGTGGTCTTCCCTGAACTTGGAGGCCCTAGGAGCAATGTCATCCTGCAATCCATCCAATAGGTAAATACCAGTATTACCAGCTCAGATAAGGTAGGTTCCATGACTCACCAGATACAGGCTATACAGCGGTTTGTGTTTTAGATTCCTATGAAATTATTTGTTTGTTATTTATACCTGTAATTTATGCAATTTTCTTTTGAGTCCCTATCTGACATCCTCCATGTAAACAATGGCTTGGTTCATAGACCTCTAATGTGGTTTCTCCATGTTTTTTCTTTGAATTTTTTGTATTTTATTTCTAGCGTAGCCTGAAAGTGGAAATGGTGAGTGTAACTTAATGTTGATCTTGTACTAGTTTCCTATGAGTTCAGGAAGTTGACATGCAAATGCTAGACAGAAGTTCTGATAGCCACATCAGAAATGGGGAGTTCTGCAAATACTAGTTTCCTACGGAGGTAGATATATAGGGTCCAAAAAGAAAAAAACATAAATTATTGAGGGCCAAGTGCCTCTTTGCTTTGAAAAATTGGCACCAATACCCCCTCTGTTTTCAAAACTTATTTCTAAAGTCCTCGTAGTTTCAAAACGTTGCGCTCACACCCCATCTGATCATTTTCCGGTCATTTTCCGGCGAAAAAAGGGGTCTTGGTGCCTATTTTCTAAACCATAGGAAGCACTCGTGCTCATTTCTCATTTTTCGTTTATTATTTGGTTTTTTTCCTTTTTTTAACTCTTTTCTTATCTCTTTGTTTCTTTTTCCTAGAAAAGTTTTTTAAATTTCTTTTCAATGTTTTTAATGTATTAAAAAATTCAAAATTCTTTGTATTTGAAATTAAAAAAAACATATACTTCATCTATCCCAAATTAAAAAAATTCACTTTTGGTTTTCTAGAATAATTTTTTTGGTAAGTTCAAAAAGAAAATCCAGAATAAGAAAATAAAAATATGGAAAAATGAAATGAAAAAAACTCAAATATGCAAAAAAAAAGAGTCTTATGCAAAAAGGAATTTTCAAAACGCCTAAAAATGTTCTTAGAATTGGGATTTCCAAAAAGGATATTCATTTTTATTTTTTATTTTATTTCTTATTTTATTCCTCATTTTTTAAGCTCTCAAAAAAAATTTACTGTTTTATTTCGAAAAACAAAAAATAAAAAATGTTAATTTGAGACGGCAAATGCAGTATATGTTAATTACTCCCTCCGTCCCCAATTTGATTACAAATTGCGGGTTACGGAGTAAAATTTCCTACTTTTTGAAATCATGTTATTTACAAATTGGTATATCAATAAGATATAAAAATTACATATTAAAAAACTACGTCAAAAGTTCTACAAAACAAGAGGTGACAAGAATATTTTATTTTACCAAATACTTAATGAAATCGCATAAACAAACAAAAGTTATCGAGAGGAGAGAGAGAAAAAAAATTGTAATCTATTTAGGGACGGATGGAGTATTATTTTTTTCAAACAAAAATAATTTTAAAGTTTAAGAACATTATAAAACTATGAAATTTAGAAAACCTTGCTTTATAAAAGAAACAAATAAAGGAAAAAAGGGGAAAAACAGAAACTAAATGAAAAATAAGAAATAAACACCAGTGCCCCCTATGGTTTGGAAAATAGACACCAATGCCCCCTTCTTTGCTGAAAAAATGGCTAAAAAATGATCTGGTGATGAGTGCAACGTTATGAAACCACGGGGACTTTAGAAATAAGTTTTGAAAACTGGGGATATTGATGTCTATTTTCCAAACCACGGTGAGTACTGGTGCTATTTGACCAATTATTGAGATGAATACAAAAAGATGACTTTACATGTAGTATTTGGAACAAAAAGAAAATCTATATTTGCCACGACATAAAACATATTTAAGCCTTCATATATATATATATATATATATATATATATATATATATATATATATATATTGTGTGTGTGTTTTTATGGTTAGCATGTTTACGCATACAGTTTTTATTTGACAAACTTGGATGGGTCTTGGGCCGGATCCCTCGCCCGCCCCACACCCATGAGCTCAAACAAGCAACAAAATGACCAATACCTGCCAGGCTTGATGATTCCACTAACATCGTGGAGAATAGAAACATGCTTCTTGTTTGTAGGCACGTATAGATAGCTCAATAGCCCCTGTTTGGATGGACATCAATGTTCAAAACACAAGACGAAAGATTGACAAGCTTCCAGATGACAAGAAGATACGAACACGAGTTACCTCAAGTATGTTTAAGGTAAGGTTTGTGATAGAAGGCAAAGCTCTCTTTCCCACATAAGCATTTGCACCAACATTCAAATGCTCAAATCTGACCTCAACTGTTGGAATATCAATGGCAACCCTGGTGAATTCAAGCGCATACATAAGTCATAGAACATCATAACAAGAGTAAAAAGCATCTTAAATAACATGACACAATATACTCTGTCCTTAAACTGTGATTTTATGTTGTCTGTTTCCAAACATACCTGTCGATGCGATCCTTAAGTTTCAATAAGAACTTCTCATTATCTCTTTCTGGGACTCTAATTAACCTCTCGATGATTTTCTTCTTTTCTTCACATCCAATGTTCTTTATATCAACTTCACTCATCTCACCTCTTAAGCCAGGCATCAGCCCCTTTTTTAGGCGGTCAAAGGTCGGAACTCTCTGAAGGGCAGCCCACATAAGCGCCACCTCATCATCTTCCTTCCTCGACGACCGCACAAAAGCATCCTTCCCATTGGCTCTCCAAACAGATGAACTGTTTGTTCTGAAGCTTCCACTTCTTGAACCAGAAGCATTGAACTCCATTAGAGCTTCAAGAACCAGAACATGACAAAGTGAAAATATTCCGGGTTCAGGGCATGCCCAGAGAATATATGAAGAAAATGTCCATTTTTTTATATCAACTAGCCAAGTCAACAGTTGGGCGCATTCAATACTTCACCAAATATCCATGCGGTGTGTCCTTATACACTAGCTTGTCAACATTATCATCCCCATCACTACACGGAAAGGCACATTTATCTGCAATTACTCCCAAATCTAACAAGAAAATGACACGAAGTGAAATTACAGTAAGTGTTTCCTGGCTAAAAATAGTTTCGGCGGAATAAAAGGTAAATGTAAAAAATCAAACGGGAAATTTTATTACAAAAGTTCCCTTTTTTTAGCATCTAACCTGCATAAACATTCAATGGCATTTCATCAAACAGATTGTAGGCACTTCCAGCTGACGAGTTATTGCACTCCATCGATCCAAGAGACAGGATCAAAGCACCCGTACTTGGAACAGTTAACCTTGAATTTCCTTTTTCTGGAATTACTTTTCCATTTTCTTTTCTCTCGGACGCCATTAATGAAGTGGTTGCCCATAGAAACAATAATGGCGGCAAATTTGATTTCCAGTGTGTGAAAACCGTGAAGTTGATTGATTGATAACTGCCGAGTGCAGTGACAATTTATTACTTCTTCTATAGATACATTATAAATATTTACGGAGTATTTTAAAGGAAAATGTTTGGTTAAGAGTTACAAACTTCACAAATCTACTATTTGTGAATTTCAATAAAAAAAATTAAATAGTTTAAACCAATTTTAAATGAGAATTTAAACTATAAATAGTAAGTTTATGAAGTTTTTGATCATTCTGTTTGTAAACATAGCATTGCTCTATTTTAAATCAACGTAATGTTCATTCTAAACATATTCAACATAGTGTGTTCATTTTAAAATAAGTTAGAGTTCATTCTGAATGTATTGCACATCCGTTTTATCATATAATATGCAGTTGGGAAGCTATTCAGCATAAGGTCCTTGTAAATGTATACTCTACATCCATTTTGTACGTAGAGCTAGACACACTCGACGAATATTCATTTTGAATCAATAGAATGTTCATTTTGAATCAACAAATGTTTATTTTTAATTGTAGTGTTCTTTTTAAAGGTCACTCAACATAGTGTTCATTCTGAAATAACATAACATGCATTTTGAAATATATTCATACTGAAATGATGTAGTGTTCATTATGAAACATTTTTTAATTACAAGTTTGTCATGATGTACTAAAATGAAGATACATCTCGTTGTACCATATAATTTGCCTCTAAAAGTACCAGGTGCAGGCTATATCCTTTTTCTTGACCGTGCAACCAGTTCTGAGAGACACATCAGAGATGAAGCTCATCATTAATTACTTCATCCAAACTCTCTCGTTTCACTTTACTAGACTTTATGCTCCTTTGGTGGGACTTCTAACTTGATGAGCATTCCATAAACCTTGGGAAGTGAGCATCGAAACTGGGTTAGCTTCCCTGTTAATTTTGAAGTCCGAGCTTCCTACCATTCAAGTGAAAGGAGAAGCTCATTATCAATTTAATTTAGGATTCAGAATAAGTAGGAACAAGACTGAATATATGGAATGTCGTTTCAGCAGTTGGAAAACAGAATCAGAAGTGGAAGTTAAGATTGACTCTCACCTAGTGCCTAAGGTAAACAAGTTTCGATATCTTGACTCGGTAATTCAGGTTGATAGGGAGTTAGACGGAGATGTTGGACATCGTGTTGGAGTGGCTTGGGCCAAATGGCGGTTGGCTTCAGGGGTGTTGTGTGATCCGAAGATTTCACCCAAGATGAAAGGTAAGTTCTACCAGTCCGTAGTCAGACCTGCTATGTTATATGGGGCAGAGTGTTGGGCGGTTAAGAAGACTCATGTGCGTCGTCTGCATGCGGCGGAGATGTGGATGTTACGATGGATGTGTGGGAAGACAAGGTTAGATAGGATTTCGAACGAATTTATCCGACGTCAGGTACGCATGGCGCCGGTGGAAGATAAGTTGTGGGAAGCGAGGTTGAGATGGTTTGGTCATGTGAGACGGCGGAATACTGACGCCCCTGTACGGAGATGCGAGAGGATTACGGTTGTCGGGTGGAGTATGGGAAGTGGTAGACCTAGGAAAAATTGGAAGGAGGTGATTAGGCAGGATTTAGGACTTCTCACTCTGACTGAGGATATGACTTTAGACAGGAACCTTTGAAGAACTATGATTAGAATAGCTGGATAGGGGCCCGGTGATTTAGAGGTTTTTTGTAGTGTGTTTTGTTTGGTTGGAATTTTTTGCTATTGCTTGCAGGACTTTCATTCCATTGTACTTGGTGTTTTATCTGTGTTATACTGTGATTCTTATCATATTTTTTGTGCAGTTGGAGCTGGAGATCTCTTGGAAACAGCCTCCCTACTTCCGAGTAGGGGCAAGGTCTGCGTACATACACCCTCCCCAGACCCTACTATAGTGGGATTCAACTGGGTTGTTATTATTGTTGTTGTTGTATTTTCTTTTAAATAGGAACTTTGAAGTTGGATGTGTACCGAAGAAACTTAATAAAGTTACAAGAAATTGAAGGAGTTTGAAGAAACTAAAATAAGTAGGAAGAAACTGAAAAGAGATAGGAAAATATTTTTTAAAAAATAAAAAAAATTGAAATAAATATTACTATAATATAGTAGAAAGTTTATATTTTTACTACAATAATTTTTAATCTATTTATTTTTAATTTTCTCCTTTTATTTTTTCATATTTTTTTTTTCAAAACACATGTATATTATTAATATTTTGTAACTCATACTCATTATTTTTTTTCTTGCACTTTTTTAATCACTAGCAATGATACAAATTTTCACTTTTTTTAAATTCAACTCCATTGACTCATGTATCAAAAATAGTGGATAAAAGAAGCAATATTTTCTAAAAAAATATGTTTTTGAAAAAAAAAATTATGGATAAATTATGTAAAATAACATCATTTTTACGGTCTTCCTAAAATGATTACATTTTTAACCTCAACTTTTCAAGACTCTAAATGATGTAGTTAGATATATTTTTCATATCATTTATGTCATTTTTGCTTTTCATTTTATTTTGCCTACGGAGTAGTATTTTTATAATATAGGTTAACAATATACAAATTACAAAACAAAAAATCATAATATGTACGTGTGAGTAAAAGAATATATTTAGATACGGAGTATATACAATTTGAAACAAAAATAGTGCGACGTAGAAGCAAATAAAATGAGAAAAATGATGGATTGAAATGATTGGATTGAAGAATAAATTATTTTTTTTAATAAAATCCAAAATTTTAAAGGTATAAAACTTATATTATCTCTAGCCTACAATACTCACATGTTTAAGTTTTTGTTAAGCTGGTTTCTTAACATGGTATCATAGTATTGATGAAGAAGAGGACATGTTCAAGTTCAAACTTCACTATCACCCAATTAAAAAATGAATTTTCACATGCAAGACTCAAACAAAAAACATCACCTAGACGTGAATGGCGTGTTAAAGTATACTCCATAAAATGTATCTGGCCCTCGCCTACAACCACAAACTTGGATTTTTTGGTCGAGAAGATAGATAGTGTGTTGACTGAAAACTCAAAAACATAATGCTACGTATGTTTTTAACACATTTGATTTTTCAATTTTTTCTAATTACTTTCGATTTTTTTCATCTCAAAGTTTTTCATACCTTCTATCCTTTTTTTAAGTCTTTCAATTTTTCATTTTTTTCAATTTCTTTTAATATCCAACTTTATCTATTTGTATTCAAAACTACAAAGCCTTATTGTGCTGGGTGGGCGTTGCGCGGTCGACAAAGGCACTACCAAAGAGATAGACTCGAGTTCGATTTTTGACAGCTACACTAAAGAGATCTACAACTATCTGATGCGGGCTCAACTTTCTGCTATCAATTTACAACCAAAATTTAATTTATCTCTTCTCAATAACCATTGGGTCGGATTTGAAGAGTGATCTGGGGTATAGGGTCATCCCTTTACAAAGCCTTATTGAGTCAGGACAAATAATTAAAAAATATTACTCGGTGGGTTGGACTTCAAACTTTGGTGGGTCTGACGAATGGTCCAAATAAATAAAAAGACACGTTACAAGTGTAAAACCCACATGTGTGTGACCCCGTCGGGTCACAACTGTAAATTAAAACTACTCGAATTTAAAGTAACCCAACGAACAACCACCAATGCCCAATTGTCCAAAAATGTCATCCATTCTAGAATAATATTTCCACCCTCTTCTAATATTTAGAAATTATGTTAAGTATATAATCTCTGCAAGTATTAAATACAGGCTTCAATTTTTGTCATTAATCTACGATCAAAGTCCAGTTTGCCATCGGACCGAATATGAAAGAACCCTCGGAGATGGGACTCATCCTTTTTTTCATGATTCCTTGCAAATTTCAATTCAATTTATTTAAGGCTCCGTTTGGTACATGGAATTCAAACTATGGAATTGGAATTGGAGACTTCAATTCCAATTCTGGTGTTTGGTAGCACAAAAATTATGTGGATTTGGAATTGATAGTGCAAAAAATGAATTGAAATTGACAGAATTTAATTCTATGGAATTGAATCCCATTGAATTTCAATTCCAATTCAATTCCAATTCCACCAATTCCTTATACCAAACGGACCCTAATTGTTTCAATTTATTTAATTGTAAGTAGATTGAAATTTCAAAAATAAACGTTTTATAGTAAAAAATTTCATGAATTTTTTTTCAAAATCTCCCTTCGACCCTAAATGATTCACATTTTACTATTCAAAAATCACAAGAATTTTTGTTTATTTGTGTGTTTTCATTGACTGTTTGATGAAATAAAATATTTTTGGCATCTATTATTTTGTAGAACTTTTGATGTACTTTTTAAATATGTAAATTTTATTTATTATTTATATATCAATCTTTCAATAAAATGAATTGGAAACACTTGAGATTTTACATCGTTTTGCGTAATAGGTAAGTGGTTTAGGGATGAAAAGGGTATGAGAAAATTATATTATTTTACAAAATGAATAGTAAAAATAAACTAAACAAGCAAAGTGTATTAAATTTGACAATGTGAATATTACATGAAAAGATCTACCATGGATAAAGGAAGTACTACCAAAAAAATTTAGTACTAACTTTTGTGTTTCTGTAATATTTGAAGTCAAAATAATATCACAATTTTGGTATCTCGTAACTTTTTGGATAATACGGAGTACCATGTATAGAGTAATACATTAGCACATTTGGATTTAAAATTTTAAATGCAAGTAACTCAATACCGGAGTAAATAAACTCAAAACTTGTATATACTTCATATAGTCTAGGTTAACAAAGATTGTACATTCTAACACGATTCTCGCATTTATACGAGAATCGTTTCGTTTTGAACTGCGGTCTCTGTAGGTTTATAATAATTCATAGATTATGTATATTCAGTGTATTTTTTAAATTTTACATTTAATTGTATAGAAATTATCATGTGGAGAATATATTTTAAATTGTTATTCTTCTGACATTTTTAGATGCGTACTATTCTTTAATTCTTATAATTCTATTACAATATACTCGGTAATTTTTATTTATAAATTTTCA